TGTAATGATAAAACTACTTCATGCAGTGCTACAATACACTCAATGTAGTACAAAAGCAACTAAAGTGGAGCTTTTAATACCTGACAAATGTGTTTATTTATGAACAATAAATGCATATATTTAAACAATATTACCAGAAATGAACATCAGTAATGTATTGATTCACCTATAGCGGTTAATTGTGGCATGGCAACTGAAAAATAGACAATCTAACAATGTATTAAAATAACTAAAACAAGTGTTGTCATCTTTAAAGGGGCCCTATTATGCTTTTTGGGGTTTTCCCTTAGGGTGGGAGTTTCTCTCCCACACACCTGCCTAAGAAATTACTTAATTGGACTCCTTTGTTTACATCCGTAACATAGTGACATCACTACGTAACACTCACGCTACTATTGGCTAGCGCTCCAACACATTGTACATGATAGGCTAAGGAGCAGGACATCTCTAAGCGGTTGGCCAATCACAACAAAGCCAGTCAACTAACAAATCAGAGCAGACTGGGCTCTGGTTTCAGACAGAGGGTGAAAAGAGGTGCTGCAGCACAGGCAGTATGAGACATTTTTAACATTAAAGCATGGCAACATGTGAAGTGAGACACAGAATACAAATATGAAACCTGATAAATAAGCAGCAGGGCCCCTTTTAAGGACACTGTTCAGCATATTATAAAAATCTGACTTTGGTATAAATGTATGCCATATAAGTTATTACATTTAAACGTTATTTATATAGCCAATTACACATGTGCTTCAGGATGGGGAAAGGGCAACCTCCCTAGTCTTACACATCCAAACTAATTCTTTGTAGTCGGTACTCATTTAAACTTGGATGTTATTATGCAAATAAAATGAATGTATAAGATTAAACTCAAACAATGAATGGGCATGTAAGACTTCCTAAGTTGCACAATTTGTTGCAAGGAAAAACAAATGTTCTTCTTAACATCAGTGCAAAACAGTCCAAAACAGTAACAGCATACATAAGACAGCATTAAAAAAATGCTGAAACTTGTTTTTGTGAAAAGAATCCTGATATCAAAGTTATTTGTGCTCTATTTATTTCAATGTTGCACATCAGCATGAGGTTGTGTTGTGGGGCATGATGAGAGACATGCAGGGGATCATAGAGATGAGAGTTTTCTGGGCTCCCTCTCTTAAACATCTTTGCTGCCCTCCTGTGGTATCTATTTGGCACATGCAGTCTCCTCATGTTACTGAGTGAATTTAGACCACAGTGACTCTTTTGTATCTTTGCGGATGCTTTGCAAATGAAGCAACTCAGCATGTTATTTCAAGGTCTTTATGGCATTTTATGTGGTCATTTACAATATGCTTAGGTTCAATTTCAGTTTCAGTAGTAGCATCTGTGCAATCTAAAGGCTCTCTTTACTGTAAGCTGCTTTGCTCCTCACCAAACACCCATGTCATTTTTTGTGTTATATTGCATATATACACTTTAGTACAATAACAATTGCAATACATGTTCCAAACCTTTGCCAGCTATGAAGATAGCATGGCTGGGTTATGTGTTGATAGGCTCAAATGACCATGTCTGTATAATACATGTAGGTGTGTTGATGTCAAACTGTATTTAAGGGTGGTTTCAATGAAGGTATATTCTTATCCTGCCTCTTCATGCGAAATATTGAGTCATTTAGAGTCTTCAAGTTTAAATTCTCAGTTAAAGCAGAGCATTTTAAACAACATTACACACACATTCAAGAGAAAAACGCATATAACGGTTACAAAAGAAAAAAAGTGTAAAAAAACGATTTCCTAACTCTTTGACCACAAAACAGTTAAGTGTTTTATTTAGCATACTTTTTTGCCATGGAAAAGGGTGGCATTAAAAGCCCAATCACAAAGTGTCACTCTTAAAAGTAAATTAAAAAAAAAGAACTACATTTGCATATGTTAAAAGTACCTAATTTGTAGGGCTTTAATGGTGAAGCATGTTTGAAGCGTTACAGACATGTACATAGATTTGCACATTAATAGTTATTTTGTTAGTTTATTTCATTAAGTTGTAAGGGCTCAGTCAAAACTAAAAACCAGCATCTTATGTGAAAGGGAAATTAATCTGTTCCAAGTAAAGATGCAAGTCATCCTTGTTTATCAAGCTGTGCTCTGGAGTGCATGCAGCGTTCCTCTGAACCAGCAGGGAAGTGGTTGATTTCAACAGAATTCCTGTCATCCCTGGACAACTCATCTGCATCTGCAACTGCATCTTCCTTGCCAAAATACAATGACCACCAAATAGAAAAACAGTTTACCGACATGATGCGGGACATTTCTGCTTGGTCGTAAAAGCAGGCCCATCAAATTAATTCCTGGAATGGTGATTGGATGTTAACAAAGTGCTGATCTATCCTAATAAGAAGCAATTAAATGCTCAGAAGAGAACGAAGGAACTAACCACCAAGTAGGATCTTGTGATATACTCTATTATATTTTATCTGATATAGATGTTGAGCTACGCCTGATAACGTGAGGCTAGGATTTACAAGCGGAACCTGGAAATGTTCAATGTTCAAAAACACTTGTTAGAGAGAGGATAAATACCATGGCATTACCTATGGCGTCACTAAGACGCAGTATTTAAAATGTTTTGCCCTGCCAGGAAATTCAATTTTTTATCCAACATCAGACATTTAGGTTTCTGCAATGTGTAATGAGCATTACAGCCTTATTTGTCTGGTAGCATTGCTGTATATTGTTCCTTTGAGACTGAAGTAAGAGCATCTCTTATTCATATTAAAAAAAAAACATAACCTGACATAATGCTCTTATTCACAAATGTAATTTAGTGGTCAACTCAGTCATTTGTGGTTTAAAGGTGTGAAACTTAACACCTCGCACTACAATCATTCAACCACCAGTAGGCCCAAACACGGATCACTAAAGTCTATTTTTCCATATTTATGTGTGTTTGTGTTTGTCTGTGGCATATTAAAATAACAACAAAAATCCCCCTCGCTGCTTACTTCCCCTGGTGTGAGTCAGGAGCACTCTGTTAACCACCGTCTAAGCAATGATGTTATTCCAAAAATACTTGTCTGAACAGTATGCTGAAATGTTTAGACAAAACGCTTGTTAGACATTACACATGATATCACTAATGATATGCAGATGATACAATGCTTTGGTTTTTGCTGGCAGCGCAGCAGCTTGATCTCTACCTTAAGTTTTGACCATAAGTTTCATACCTACCTAAACATTGCAATTATAAGACATGTTCTGGAAGCATGTCAGTGGTGACTAGCATTGTGAAAGACAAAGAGTAAAATCCTTTTGTGACAACAAAAAAAGAGTGCTTTTGTATCTACATTTTAAATTACTCGCATAGGCAATGTCATTATGTGAATGATCAGAAAAGTGTAAACAATTGTTTTTTATCACCCTTTTTCGTCTTTGTACAAGTTAAGGCATTTCATTATTGTGGTAGGAGCAAATAATTATATACCTTGTTGTCTGAGACAGACACTGATGGAGGAGACACAGTAAAGGTAGCATGTATTTACCTGCCAGAGACCTGCAAACCTGTCTGGAACAATAGTCTTTAAGGTATTTTAAAGCTCAATATCATTTTGAACGTCATCACTGCTGCGGTATTTGGTCATAAAAATTGTTATTTACCTAATTTAAGTTCTTCCCTGATGATGGGGCTACAATGGAAAGCTAAGGGATCACCAAACTCATTTGGATTCATCCTGCAGGCTCCATTAACCTGTACTAATTTCCATGGAAATACATATAATAGTTTTTGCGATATATCAGTAAATGTAAAAAGGTAAAACCAGTTGATTATCAAAAAGTATTGGGCACAATGACTGTCTGTAAAAAAAATGAATGGCGATCTATCTGATAGTTATTGAGATATTCAAATTGGACTAAGTGAAAGATTAAGTATTTTATTATTTTGTCGTAGGTTTCTGTGCTGTACATCAAACCTCTTGCAGACTTCGCCATAACTGAGAGAACTATGATCATTCCCATATTGGATTTGTTAGTTCTGCTCTGCGTAACATATGAGTCACATATAACGGTAACGAGCAACAGTGGAAAAACCTAAAGCTGGATCAAATGATTACCAGACAAAACTCATGCAGAACATTCATTGAGAGAGATCACCTTATTCCGAAGGCCCTCATAATAATAATAATAATAATAATAATAATAATAATAATAATAATAATGATAATAATATTAAATAAATAAATTGAAACAATATATTAAATATATTATAAAGGTCATACTTTGATCGTAATATTTTTCTTTATTTTAACAAGTTTGTTAGTCACATATCCTAAAAAGTCTTCACCTAAAATAACGAGACACAGAATGACTATCATGAGACCAGCAGGTGCATTCAAGAATTCCCCATATGCCCAATTTGTTGGTCATCAAATCAAATCAAATCAAGTTTTATTTATAAAGCACATTTAAAAGCGATTTTTGGTCGAGCCAAAGTGCTGTACATGTAATAAAAACACATTACTACAATCACAATAAAAGACAATAAATTACAACAGATATATATAAAAAATAGTCATAGGTTATTTATTTATTTTTCGCCTGAAGAAGCTTTGCAGATAATAACTAATGACGTCACATCCTTACTAAGGTGGCATCCTTTCTAAATATAGATTGACATGTGTGGGTTGCTTTGTTTAGTTTTTCTCTTACAAATAAAAACTTCAAAGTGTAAAATGTTGCCTCATAGACATTGTCAGTAAATCTATTGGCAAACTCCATAAGTCATGGTAATTTGAGAAATAGGAAATGCTTAATCAAAACATTTCAGGCTGGTTCAAAGGAGTACACTCAAACCACAGTGACTGCAGTTTTACATGTACATGCACATTCTTAAAAAAGGAGGAAGTGGCTAGGTGCTTTTTCATGAATCACTGGGACCCTTTGAAAAACAGTGGACCAAAGTCCTATAAATGCCTGTCAGAGTTTCTTGGACCCATTGACTACTTTGGACAACACAGAGACAACAACAATGATAGCTCTGCTGCTGCTGGCGCTGGTCGCACACTCCTTTGCTCTGCCTCTGCCATCTGAGGACAATGACAACTTGCTTTTAGCAGAGGTAAGACCTGAGCCCTCTAATTCTAATGTTTTTAGTCTGGTAGCCTGGCTTCAAGTGGATATTTTTCTCTCAAGACTTCACAGTGTTAGATTGGAGTAATCCACATCTATCCATTATAAATGTCATTCAGCTTCTGTTCTCTTTAAACAAACAGAACTACCTCCGTCGATTCTATGGCCTTCCAGCTGGTCTCCGGGGTAGACAGAAGTCTTCAGGTACCTTTCAGAACAAGATCAAGGAGATGCAGAGATTCTTCCAACTCGAGGTAACCAGATCTAGATGTGTGTTAAAGATTATATGTGGTTTTAGCAACATTAGTAGTAATAGCAACATTTTGGCAGTGATGGAAAACGTACTCAGGTCCTTTACTTGAGTAAAAGTCGAATTAAGGTGTCTTAAAAATGATGTTGTGTAATATTATTCTGTTTTTATATCAGTAGCAAATACAAATCACTTTGTTTGTAATTTTGTAGTTTGTCAATGTTGAGCCAATTTAAGATACTTTTAAAATACTGTATATATTAACGTGTATTGCATAACATCATGTGTTTACATTGCTAGTAACTATGAGTGTTTAATGGTCATATGCTTTGTGTAGAATTTAAATGTACCTTAAACATTTTTAAGGTGTCAAATTATCTGTACTTTGGCAGCACATGTACTTATCTAACACATTTTTTTCCACCTCTTTTGCCTTTGAAGGTGACAGGGAATCTGGACGACAACACTTTGGAGCTGATGAATCAGCCCAGATGTGGCGTACCCGACATTGGGGAGTACAACCACTTCCCTCGAAACCCCAAATGGCCAACTAACAATGTCACATTCAGGTATGTTATAAAGGACAACAACTATACAGAAAATGTTTTCCCAGAGTTATTCACTAAGCTCCCTTGTGGTCTATCCCCTGATGTTACAGGATATTGAATTACACACCAGATCTGCCGAAGGCTGATGTAGACAGAGCCATCCGCAATGCGCTGAACGTTTGGTCTGATGTCACCCCGCTGACCTTCAAGAAGCTGCGCGAGGGCATCGCTGACATTATGATCAGTTTCGGGTCATTAGGTGAATATAACATATAATTTGAATACATACTCATACTCAAATATTATAAAAGTGTGCATTCTCCCTAACATATCTTGAAAATGTCTATGCTTTATTCTGTAGAGCATGGAGACTATTATCCTTTCGATGGGCCCAATGGATTGCTTGCTCATGCATTCCCACCGGGCCAAGGCATGGGCGGAGACACTCACTTTGATGAGGATGAAAATTGGACCAAAGATTCATCAGGTAGGAATTATACAACAATTATGAACACTAGTCACCAACTGTGTCTTCGTGATTAACATACTGAACATATTTGTTCTGCAGCATACAACCTGTTTATAGTGGCGGCCCATGAGTTGGGACACGCCCTCGGGATGTCCCACTCCACAGATCCAGGCGCCCTGATGTACCCCAACTACTCCTACTCTGAAGGCTTCCCACTGTCTGAGGATGACATTGAAGGCATTCAAGCTCTCTACGGTGGGATAAAACTCTAGCTAACTTTAATGCAGTTAAAGTTAAACCATAATGGTTTCCATTGTCTTAAAATGTAATGCAAATAGTATGTATATTAATGCAAGATTTTCAAACACAGGCCCAAACCCAAACCAAAGGAAAGTGAAGCCAAAGCCTGACGCACCAAACAAATGTGACCCCATGTTAAGTTTTGATGCTGTAACAGAGCTCAGAGGAGAAACCATAATCTTCAAAGACAGGTACAGTAAGACACACAAAGAATACAAAGATACGTAAACTATAGGCCTAGACCCATTACCTATCCGACCACTAGAGTGTGTGAGAACTAGACTCATGTAATGCAATGATGTAATGTGTGTGAGAACTAGACCTTTAACCTATATGACCACTAGAGGGTGTTTGAGAACTATACTCATAACCTATATGACCACTAGAGGGTGTTTGAGAACTAGACTCATAACCTATATGACCACTAGAGGGTGTTTGAGAACTATACTCATAACCTATATAGCCACTAGAGGGTGTTTGAGAACTAGACTTATAACCTATATGACCACTAGAGGGTGTTTGAGAACTAGACTCATGTAATGCAATGATGTAATGTGTGTGAGAACTAGACTCATAACCTATATGACCACTAGAGGGTGTTTGAGAACTAGACTCATAACCTATATAGCCACTAGAGGGTGTTTGAGAACTAGACTTATAACCTATATGACCACTAGAGGGTGTTTGAGAACTAGACTCATAACCTATATGGCCACTAGAGTGTGTGTGAGAAAATATTTGAATATTCTGTGATTCAATTAATTTCTCTATATCGAGATTTGCAAATTGTAGATAACTTCAATTTGCTATTTGCTGCACTGTTGCAGATTCTACTGGCGTCTCCACCCTCAGATGCCGGAGCCTGAGCAGACACTGATAAAGTCCACATGGCCGTCCATCCCCAACAAGGTGGACGCAGCATACGAGAACCCAGAGAAGGATATAGTTATCATATTTAGTGGTGGGTTTTGCATACTTGTTTAATGCTATTATACATTACATATTAGGTAAGTACTAAATATCTTTGTTTCAACAGGGATCCGAATGTGGGCTTTGAATGGATATACCCTTGTGGATGGTTACCCAAAGTACATACACAAGCTTGGTCTTCCCAAGGACATAAGGAAAATAGACGCGGCTGTTCACATCACAAACACTGGGAAAACTTTGCTCTTCACTGATGAGCATTATTGGAGGTAAGCGGTGATGACTATAACTGTGTCGATTATATTCATTATTATGTCAATCGAACCACATTTAATTCTGTATTTCATTATTTCAAATGAATATTTTTTGCTTGTATTCGTCATTCACAGCTATGATGAAGCAGCAGGCACCATGGACAGCGGCTACCCACGATCCATTGAGCAAGATTTCCCTGGGATGGGTGACGAGGTCGACGCAGCTGCTATTCAATATGGTATTATGAAGCTTCAAATATCACATTTTCAGTATAATAAAGCATACAAACTAAACTCTACCTTTATACTGCTTTCCTTAATTTGTATTTGTATTCCATTGTGTTGTCTTGCAGGATACCTGTATTTCTACCATGGAAACCTGCAGTACGAGTACAGCTACACCCACAGGAAGGTCATGCGCATCATGAGGACCAATTCTTTTCTCAACTGTTAATTGAGAGTTGAAGAGATGTGACTCACAAAATCATTTTCCCTGCAAAGAAAATATGCAACTAAAAAAAAAAATGTGGGATGCGGGATGTCCTTTAACAGTTAAAGTAAAGAAAGAAAAGTTTATTTTTATTAGTGCTGGACACCTGTAGGTCATACAGTATTATTTGTCAGACCCATAATGCTGTACAATTCCTCAGAAATATGTTTCCTTAGATTATTGCTATTTATTTTCAATGTCTATATTTGTATTTCAAGTTTTACTATAGACAGCATGATCCTTAGCAGGTTAAGTTTCTTGTCAGTAACAGCTTTTTTTTAAGCTCATTATTTGAAAATGTTTTACAAATATTATATTTCAAGAAAGAACTTGGAAAATACCTAAATGTGTTCTGTATTTGTTTTTGTATTTTTTGTAAATTGTTTGGATAACAATAAAAGCAGAAAAGTAATGTTGTCCCACCTAGTGACATTTCATTTTAAAGTATTATCCTCAACTTTCAGAATCCTCAACATATTGCTAATGCCAAAGATGAGTTTAGACAATTGACATCGATATGAATGTCTCTGAAAAAATGTAAATAAACTGAAGTGATCAGTGTGGTATTTGATCAGGACAAGTGAAGTGTACATATTTTACACTTATATTTTCAGGCAGAACCACCCCTGCCTATAAGCAGAACCAGTGCGTAGGGCCTCAAACCTCATTATTGAATTGATTGTTCAACATTTTAAATATTTATCTTACATAGTTACAAAATAGATAATGATAACCAATACAAGGTAAGACTTCCTGGAGCACTTCTTTTAGGGGGGTATTGGTTATATATTGGCATTTAATTACCTTAAAATGTAGTCGAGCGTTGTATCAGAATACCAGAGTACTGAGCACATTGAGATTTTGACGTATGATCATTACATTATTTTTGTATCCAAATTCAACAAACTTCTTAATGAAGATTGCAATATAAAGCTGTGCTGAAATCATTGATTTAATACCACATATACGTACCCAATGGTACAATGCCATTCTGGACAGACACTCTGGATCCTGTGCATGTAGTTCTCTTACTTTCCACTAGAGAGCGCTCCTGACAACAGTTTAGGTGCCTGACATTTCTGACATGACCAATGTCCTGACATTTCTTGGAAAAGTCAAGAAAGATCTAGAAAATTCCTGTTACAAAAGAGGGTTTTGCAAAGTCATGACAATATTCCACTGCTGTGGTGTCAGGTATCTTAGTCCATTCCTGAGTTTGGACCAATTAAAGATATCATTAGTGGAACAAATGTTGCCATCTGAACATACCTTCAAACAGACTAAGCACTAGTTGTAATTCTAAAGGCCCATTACCCACAGTATCTACATCCTCCAGCATTAAGTCAATTATAGAAACAGAAAGTTTGCAATTCAATTTTTAAAGGTCAGTGTAGCTAAAATTGAGTAAACAGTTAAGTTTGAGCCAAGCAGCGTAATCCACAGACGCAATCATGTGAATATAATTACAGTGCAGTGAAGCAGTCACCTTTGCTAATTTCAAAGGAATTGTGTGGTGTTGGCTGCGTCACCACTTCACAAATCCTGTGTGTTCATTAACCATGTCGGCTTTGAGAGTCCAAGATCTGTCAGTAATACCTCTTTTGGATTTTTCAATCAATATAAGATTCTAATTTACGTGTGTCAGAAAACGTTACTTCCCCTTCAGCTTAGCAAGAGCTCATGTGCTTTGAATATGATTGTTATTTTGCAGTGGGAGGGAAAGAAAATAAAGAGTGGAGTCATGACAAAGGAAACATTTAAACAAGAGTGCACATTGTGTTTGTCAAACAAAACAGGCTGTCAGAGGCTCAACTGTCTCCAGGCTTGTGCTGAAAATGGGCTAAAAACCTCCCTTTTACTGCAACTTTGACTATATCTATGATGTTTTGAGATGCATGTTTGTGGCCTGGGAGAAAGAAGATCCAGTTTTGCATGAAAAGAAGAGACACTCACAGTAAAATACAGCAGATGTGCCATTTAAAGCTTTCTCTAATTTATGTTTATTTCAGTGAGAGGATCACTTTGTCTCCTATACTTGGACGTGTTTTCACTCCTCTGGGAAAGTGAACAAGACAGTCTCTTGTTTCTAATATTTACTACTGCCCTCGCTCCTTGGCAGTTTGCAGAAATTGTGCAACTTTGAGTATTGACTTAACTTTTGGCTTTTAAAACAGCAGTGCAACTGAGAAAAATCAAGATGTTGTTTTAGCCCCATGTGGATTTAGAGGTCATGTCAGTCTTCTTTTCTTTTCATCTCCATTTGTAGTCCGGCACCTTTTTCCTTGCCCCAGATAAAAGCCATTACCATATCTTTCAACTTGTTTAAAATGCAGCGTTGATGATCTGAACTGGAGCCAAATGAAAGATCATAAACCATGAATTTTAATGTCTCTCCATTAGTTACAAGTTAGATGGTGAAGTAATGCTTAGTTTAATGATGTTAAAAGTACAGCCAGGTCAGCATGACACAGCATCTTCTGCCCTGTGAGGGGAAGAGAAAGACCCTGCCGGAAAGATAAGATGGGTGCGGCTTCCTGAAAAATGAACTACAAACTCATCCACTTTTTGTTCCGCCCCATTTTTCACTTCAATGTTGCCTCTGTTCAAGCATAATATAGCGTAGAGTGATACAAAATGTAGAGCAGGGATAGACACTGTTAAAACAAGTTAAGAGAAAAATTGAAAATGGATTTAAAAAAAAAGGTGGTATCCTTTGAGAAAACGTTCACGCAGTCCTGGCCAGTGGCTCCTGATGGGAACCAGATGGAGGAGAATGACGGGCAGCGGTGTCAGGAGATATCTGTTTTCCTCTGGGAAACTCCCTCCGAGAGCAGCAATATGAGAAAAGCAGTGGTGTAAAGTAACTAAGTACATTTACTCAAGTACTGTACAAGTTTGAGGGACTTGTACTTTACTTGAGTATGTAAATGTGTTGCTACTTTGTACTTCTACTCCACTTAAATTCAGAGGTAAATGGTGTACTTTCACTACATACATGTATTTAATACCTTCAGTTACATTGCAGTAAAGTCACAAGCAACCCTACAAAGTAATTAACTAGCTGCACCTTTACCAGCTTTCATTAACACATTAATACATCAATAAGTATAATCAAAACATATCATATATATTATTGTGAAATGGACCAATCTGCATAATGAGTACTTTTACTTGTGGTACTTCAAGTATATTTTGATGCTAATACTTCTGTACTTTTACTTGAGTAACCTTTTGAATGCAGGAGGACTTTTACTTGTTACAGAGTATTCCTACATTCTCTTACTTTTACTTAAGTACACGATCGGAGTACTTCTTCCACCTCTGGAGAAAAGTGAAACAAGACTTGTGTAACTCTTGTGTGAGCAGGCATTGCAATTAAATGTATGAAATGCCGCTAAGCAAGAAACTCTCTTTCTTATAACAAGTTAATTAACAAAACTGACCTGCTTGTATACATTTTTACAATACCTATGTGAGAGTGATTATAGAATGCTGTTGTTCAACATCATTTGAATATTTCTGGTGAAAGTGGCTTGTCTGGTATGTTTAGTGTGACGGCAGCTAATCTTATCCTTCTGGGTGTATCTGTGTGTTTTACGTTGCCTTCTGTGTTCGGTTGGCTTTCTTGTCTCGTCTGCTAGTTGTTATTCTTCCTTTTTCCCTGAATAGAATATAAAAATATGAGCGTTTTTTTTGCAAAACAGCCAAAGCTTCGCTGAAAGGGCGCAGTCTGTGTTTCCTTCCTCCTATAGAACGATAGATGTGGAAAGTCACGCTGTGCTCCGTCTTGACCCTTGATTATGAATGTGACCAGATATGACCCTGGGTCAGAGACATATGTGTTGTTGAAGTGACCAGTACTTTCTTTTTGAAAACGTTTTATTTTTTGACTAGGTTTTTGCACTTGTCTAAATAATATCTCTTTTCAGGCAGTATAACATAAACAATATATTCAGTTAGGAAAATAGATGATATGGTTAAATATTCATGAAGTTTCAAAAAACCTTTTTTTTATTAATCATTGTTGGTTCATTCAAAGCCAATGTATATGTTTTTAATTGAACTACAATCCTTAAGAAAAATAATATTTTATAATACGAAAATATGTTTTTGCTGCTAACTAACTAATAATAATTTTACCAAACAACATTGTGTTACCATACCCATTTATTTTTACATGATCCATGTTAGGTTTCCTTTTCTCTCACATGCGTCATGTCACAGGCCGTAGATACATAATAATAATAGAGGACAATAATAGAGCTGTGTGTAAGGAAAACAATGCTCCACCCTTTATTTGCAACTTGTTCCAGAGTTACTGTGTATGAGTCACACTGTCTCTGATATTCAAGATGTTAAATAAAGATTTAGATGTTTAAATAGAAATAAAGAAACATTTGTATTAGTCTGGCTGAGGAGGATTCACAGTTTAATGTGTAGCTTACGTCAGCCACATAATAGAACTGCTTGATCTTGGGTCCATCTGTTACACAAAATTACATCTACATCTATTTGAATACAAACAAAACTTGGATTTGCTCAAAGTGAAACTCTGTATACTTTTGGTGATGAATAAACCAGCACACAAGTGTTTATATACAAAACATGACATACACTTCAGGACAGGGAGCAGCTGATGGAACATTTTGAAGCTTAGTGTAAATAAATCTGCATGCAACCTTTACAATACAGCTTAATATAACTTGTACTTCACAGAACTACTCACCTTGAGCTGGTTCTCAACATGCTGAGTCGTGGTACAGTTTTGGGTCACTCTAAAGTGATGAGTTTTCTTCCTGAAGAGTTTGACTTTTTTGCTGATTTGTGTTTTTTTAAGCCACAGCAGCAGTACTTTCTTTTGTTTAGTCATGACACATTAAAACAAAGCAGTGTTTACTTACGACTTTTTACAACAAATGTATTTAGCTTGTTACCAAGAGAGAGACAGAAGACCTATTTTTTAAAACATATTTTAATGTTATCTTACTTAGTAAAGTAAAGTATATCCAAAATATGTAGCAACAATGTTCTGCTTCTATTGCTTTCAATATTTCAATTTTCCCTTGGTTGGGAACTATAGCCTTAAAACTGCAATATGGAATCTTTTTACATGGACATTCAAATAAATCATCTGCATGCACCTCTACAGTACATATGTTGAGCACACCACAAAAAAATAACTGTGTAAAGCTTATTGTCAATTAGTATCTTGTTTTTCATTGTTTAAACCTATTGTCTTGGGATTGACCAAGTGCACTATAGGGTTAACAGCTTTAGTGGCTCTTTAGAAAGCAAACAAACTGATCTTTGTGACCTTTGTCCAGTTGAGCTGATCTTTTGTTTGTCTGAAAAACAAAACCTCTTTGCTGAGCAGCATTACGCTGACACGGTGCCTTGGTGTCTATTGTCACTGCAGCATAACACACATAAGGGGCGTTATGACCCTCGATATGTCTTATCTAAAAAATGTGCAACATCACCTCTATACCGCAATACATGAAAGAAAATGACGTTTAGTAACAATAATTCACTCCTCCATTCCAAACAAACAAAAATAAATGTAAAAAACAGTGTTGTGTTTCAGCCTTCTGCGGGACTGACAAGTAAAACCTTGCAGTGTTTGGAGCAGTATGGGCTCGTTGTCGAAGCAAAGTGAATTAGCTGCTTGGATAGCCTGATCCTCCAGAGGATCTATCTGGGGAAGGTCAAATTACATTTGTTTGATAGTTGTTCAAGCAAGAACAGAGCACTTCATAAAGACACCCTGGTTCTGCTTGCCTGAATTAATTATACACAGTTCAAAGCTTCCCTCTGCTTTGAAGTAACTACATCTCCGAAAATGTCAATCTGTACAATCCAAGTACCATAGTTCTTTATTAAGCTCAGTCTGGGTGGGAAACTTACGCTATCTTCTGTAAGTGATGAGGGCAAAGATCTTTTCTTGTTACGACCATTTCATTACTTGAATCTGACCTCCTTAAGGACTCTTAAGTTTGGTGGCCTTTAGAAATTAGGCCTGTGCAGCCTTTGACTCACTGTTCTGTTTGTCTTACACGTTACACAACGGCAGCGAACAGGCCAGTGACCATGTTGACCGGCAGTTTATTTTGACCTGCTGGCAAATCATTCTCCAGTGGAACAAAACGCGTGTTTGCAAACTAATTTGACCAATGAAGTAAATCAACGTTCTCTCAATGAGTAATGGTAAAACACCAAGCTGCACCTTGCTGTTACGTGTAACTTCACCTTAGCATTCCTGTGGTTTTTCTGTGGACAAAAGAGGACGAGCAGCCTCAAGACTGCATATTAGGGGTTTTGAATGAAAGTCAGAAGAGCCCAGTCTTGGTGTAGAAGTTTATATTTATATGTATGTAACTATTTTGTATATAACTTTATATATAAATGAATCTTGTGTGTAATAAATTGACTCTTCTCACACTTTAAATGACTGCGGTTTGTTCTGTGTTATGTAATAACCTCAACTATTCTTTGGTGCGTAAGGGAAGGAGCACAAACTCGTCGCAAAACAAAACAACTCACATGTCAGCGTCGTCATCTTATTTAATATTGTGGTAGAGAGCCTGTTTTGCCACTCCGTGTGTGGTTTGTTTTCTTAGCCTCATAACAGGGTGTGTCGCTTAAAGGTGGGGTAGGTAATTTTGGAGAAACCAGCTCGAGTGTGCTAGAATTTGAAAATACACAACCGGAAAAAATCTGCCACTTCCTTACAGAGCCCCTCCTCCAACACACACGAACGTGCACATGACCAATGAGGGCACGAGATAAGTTTGTGTACAGATGGAAGGCTGACAGGCAGGTAGGCCATCCAGTTATTTTAGCCGGCTTCCACATTTAAAAAAAATTTTTTTAATGGATTTTTTGTCAAAGCACTTCAGATATTCATTGCTATCGGGATGTTAAGAGCATTCCATGGAATATAACAAAAAGTGTATCTCGAGCCGGTTTCTCAAACTTACCTACCCCACCTTTAAGTTTGTCTTGGAAATTGAAATTAATGATGAAGTTTAAAATCTTTACGCTGGAGGTTTCTTTGAAAAACTAAAATAAGAAAGTTGAAGTCTATTTTTGTTCAGTAGCTGTAGCAAAACATATAAATCTTGTTGGGCAAACTTGCATGCATGCGGACCGCTGTTTGTTTACTGTAAATGTACATGCAAACTCTGTTCATTTACAGACGTCAGCTAACTGAAAACTTGGCTCACTGATTCAAAAGTCTCTATTGACTTAGCGTCAACTTTATCCACCTGAAAAGGGTCTCTTGTTCTCCTGATAACTGCCCCTCTCCCTAAGACTGTACTGTATGTGATGATGAAAGCAAGATGTCAGGTATAGATAAAACACAACGTTTCTATGTTGTCAATGCTCTGTGGATGTATTTGTTTTTCACTTTCATGGAAAACTAACTTTCTGTCAGGGTAGATTCAACAGAGGAGCACATTGCAATTAAATGGCACTGCTAAGTTTGTTTTTCAGGGTCAAAAAGAAATGTCAGAACTTATGTCAACATCTCTATTGATTCCAGCTCTGCAAAACAACATGTTTACCTCTGTTAGCTTTTACACATCTTTTATAGGTACACTAGGAAATCATGTGTTTATAAATGTTCTCAAAACAGAGCAGTAGACACATGGACATATACTATTTATTAGCCATCTATCCTTTAATGTATAATTTACACATTTCTATGTATGTCCCAGACTATAATGAGGCACATTTTAAGGAAGAAACTGGGAAGAAAATAGACATGAGACTAGATTTTCTGAAGTTCTTCTCCACTGACATGTCAAACCTGAATTTTCTCCCCCTTTTGATCTATAAACTGATTTGTTGTGCTGTTGCATTCCCTGAATGTCTTTTCACAGTGTAGTTGTGTGCTTCTATGTCAGAGCTTACTTGGATGGAGGATTGGTTACTCGGATGTCAACATGCTAGTGCTTCAGGAGTGGAAAAAAAAGAAAAAGCACAAACATCTTGAAGTGATTTCCACAATGGGGTCAATCCACTAAGGGCTCCCCTGCAGCCTCCTAGTAATGTGAAAAATAATAGGATAAACAGACTCAAAAACAAGACAAGAGTCATTTTGGCTTTGTAAATGACCACAGATCCTCTATTTGCACACGCTCAATGTACGGGATGTAACACGTACAGTACAACTATGGTGCAATGGTTTAGTCAGCCTTATTTGTATCTGTTTCTGGGCGTCTTGGAGTTTCAAAGATGTGTCACAGAAAGAAGGGCATAATGTCTTCTCTGTCTCACAGGACAAAAAACACTCATTGCCAGACGCACACAGGAGATCTGTAAGCCGCCATGACTGGAACCTGGCTCTCTCTCCTTTCTCTACTCGTCTGCTACCCAGTCACCTCCTTAGCATGTTACCAGCCAAGTGTAGCACTGTATGCTGCCAAACCCTTACAGGTCTGCCCGCTTTAGTTTTTTTTTAAACGTCTGTTCACAACCACAAGTGTGTTTATTGTGTCTTTGTAACGCGACAGTTTCAAGTATGCAAAACCCACAGCACGTTGCAAAAGTGAAGAAAGTGCTGCAAGATTAATAACTCAGATTTAAGATTATTTATCCCTTTAAAGGTGGGGTAGGTAAGTTTGAGAAACCGGCTCGAGATACACTTTTTGTTATATTCCATGGAATGCTCTTAACATCCCGATAGCAATGAATATCTTAAGTGCTTTGACAAAAAATCCATAAAAAAATGTCATCTGTGGAAGCCGTAGTACTGTAAAAAGCACGACCAATCATTTTAGCCGTCCCGGCTAAAATAACTGGATGGCCTACCTGCCTGTCAGCCTTCCATCTGTGCACAAACTTATCTCGTGCCCTCATTGGTCATGTGCACGTTCGTGTGTGTTGGAGGAGGGGCTCTGTAAGGAAGTGGCAGATTTTTTCCGGTTGTGTATTTTCAAATTCTAGCACACTCGAGCTGGTTTCTCCAAAATTACCTACCCCACCTTTAAGCGACACACCCTGATCTGAGGCTAAGAAAACAAACCACACACGGAGTGGCAAAACAGGCTCTCTACCACAATATTAAATAAGATGACGACGCTGACATGTGAGTTGTTTTGTTTTGCGACGAGTTTGTGCTCCTTCCCTTACGCACCAAAGAATAGTTGAGGTTATTACATAACACAGAACAAACCGCAGTCATTTAAAGTGTGAGAAGAGTCAATTTATTACACACAAGATTCATTTATATATAAAGTTATATACAAAATAGTTACATACATATAAATATAAACTTCTACACCAAGACTGGGCTCTTCTGACTTTCATTCAAAACCCCTAATATGCAGTCTTGAGGCTGTTCGTCCTCTTATGTCCACAGAAAAACCACAGGAATGCTAAGGTGAAGTTACACGTAACAGCAAGGTGCAGCTTGGTGTTTTACCATTACTCATTGAGAGAACGTTGATTTACTTCATTGGTCAAATTAGTTTGCAAACACGCGTTTTGTTCCACTGGAGAATGATTTGCCAGCAGGTCAAAATAAACTGCCGGTCAACATGGTCACTGGCCTGTTCGCTGCCGTTGTGTAACGTGTAAGACAAACAGAACAGTGAGTCAAAGGCTGCACAGGCCTAATTTCTAAAGGCCACCAAACTTAAGAGTCCTTAAGGAGGTCAGATTCAAGTAATGAAATGGTCGTAACAAGAAAAGATCTTTGCCCTCATCACTTACAGAAGATAGCGTAAGTTTCCCACCCAGACCGAGCTTAATAAAGAACTATGGTACTTGGATTGTACAGATTGACATTTTTGGGACATATATATAATACAATAATGTATAATATGCGCATTAGCTGTCTTGATTAGAGTTAGATCTGAAGATTCACAACAATTTCATGTATGTGTGTTAAGTATAAAGCCACAGCCAGAAGCTTAGTGTAGCATTAAGAATGGAAACAGGGGAGAACAGCTTATGTGGTTACGTCTAAAAATTACAACATTTATTAAATAAACAAGTTAAATTAAATGTCTTTGATCTGTCAACAACTGAACCATAAAGAAAACATGTTGTAGTTTAATGGGGAATTCCAAAAGACTACAGGAAGTCACTGCAAGTCCAATAAATAGTACCCTCGTACAACCGCAGCCATTGTTTTCACATTTAGTTTTTCGTATTGATTTAACAAGTTATTTAGTGAGCTTAAGAAGTTCTTTGGACAGAGCCAGGCTAGCTGTTTCCCTCTGTTTCCAGGCTTTGTGCTAAGCTAAGCTAGCATGCTGTTGGCTATATTGCTTCATATTGGACCAACTAATATCAGAATCTTCTCATCTAGCCCTCGGCTATTAAACAAATCAGCACATTTCCCAAAATGTCTAACTATCCCTTTAAACATTTCAATAAAGCATCACATTCAAAGTCAAATAAAATGATCTTAGTGGTCAAGAGTTGAAAAATCAGTGTGGATATGATGAGCAATGCACAGAAGGTTTTGTATTACACTGCATGTATGTGCATTTTAAGAAAACATCACAACTGGTTTGAGTGCAAAAAGCTCTTAATATGGTCCCACTTTAAATGAAGTACATAACAAACAGTATGAACATTACTCAAAAAGTTGGATTTATGAAAAATTATCTACCAGTTCAGGCTAAATGTAAAGATTGAAAGAAATGGATCAGTTTTTTGTGTGTTTTAAGTCGTTTTTTCTGAAAGGTACAGCATTTTTTATACTTCTGTCAAGAGTTTGTGTAGGCTACTTTAAACCTTTAAGACATATTCCAAAAGCTCACCTTGGAACAGAGGTAATTAAGTGAAAGTAACAAAAAAGTGTTTTGCATATCAGAGCAGATAAGGCACGGCTCTCGCTTTAGGATTGTACTGGCGTGGTTATACTCTCAGAAGGTGGTTGTACGACGTGTTGTCCAACCATGCTAGAAATCTAAAGTGTTAATGGTTATATCCAACGTCAGAAAGATGTTGGTGTGAGGGGGGTTTCTGAAGCTATTCGACCACTTGGCAAGCACTTCTGATGGACTATACTGGCCCCTTTAAGGATTGGTCCATTTCCACAGGCACTGTTCCTACAACACGATGCCCTCCACATTACAGCTGAGCACCTCGTTGTGTTGGACCTGTCCCAGCTGCCGGTGGAACTGTCTCTGTTTCTGTGTCCTCCAGCATTGGATGCCCCGCCCTAATGTGATACTCTTAATGCTGGGCAGGTGTGTCAGCATGTTATTTGGCAAGGACGCCACAGCAGAGCCAGATAAATTCAGCTCCAGCAGGGAGTCCAGTCCGCTGAAAACTGCGGGGCTTAAAGTCTTGAGCTTGGGGTTGTTTGAGAGATCCAGTACTTGCAGGCTTAGGAGGCCCGTGAAGCTGTTTGGCATGATCTCGTGAAGGTCCTGGAGGCCACTGATGGATAAATAAACTAGATTTTTCAGTTGAGCAAAAGCTCCCTCCTTGATCTGTGTGATGGGGTTACCATCCAGATTGAGGTACCTCAGCGGAAGTCCTGCCAGCGCCGGTACGCTCAGCAGCCGGTTTGCTGACAGATTCAAGGTTTGAATGTGCAGCTCTCTCCCACGCAAAGCCGTGGAGACTGACACAAGCCTGTTGTGAGACAGATCCACGCTGACAGGCTCACCATTTACTTTGGTGGCGAACACGTCCATGTCAAACTCTTGGAAGTTGTTGTGGCTGAGGTCAACTTCAGCCAATGGGAGGCCGGAGAAACAGCCGAGAGAGAGGCTCTGCAGGTTGTTGTGGCTCAGATCCAGAGTCTCCAGGTAACGCAGCTTGGACAGAACATTGGCTGTTATCTGAAAATGTGAAGGCAAGATAGAGAGAAAGAGAAAAGAAACCGTAAAACATTGGCCAGGTACATTTTTCAGATGTGAAGATACATTGAAATAACTTGTTTAACTTTTGTCAGCGCTGTGTAGTCTATGCGGGACACAATACACACAAATGTATTAAAAAATCCCAAAATATGACTCCGTCAATCATCAATTCATCAATCACATTTTATTGATTATAAATGACCATTTTCATTTTTATAAATACAAATGTGTCGTTAAAGTCAAAGGAAACATAACCTCATGATGTACTAGAGCTCCTTTAAACACTGACCGTTGTTATAAGGTTGCTGCTGAGGTCCAAGCTAACGAGGGTGGTGTAGCCTGGACCGGACAACATGGTGTTGGTGAGCGGGCCCATGGTGTTGGAGGACAGGTCCAGGTGGGAGGTGTCCAGTGGGATGGGGATCGGCATGGTGGTCCCGGGTCCCAGCCCCCGACAGTCCACCCTGGTCAGGCTAAAGCTGTCGAACAGGCCGAAGCTTTCCACCTCACAGTGGCAGCCATGGTGGCAGTTCTTGACGTTGCTGGACTGGACGGAGGCCAGCAGCGACAGGCCAAGGCAAAAAAGGAGTGCCATTATGCTCTAGAAAAGAGAACACATAAATATTTACATAACTTTTTAACATGTCAGTTAGAAAGGCTTTGTAGTTGTTAGGGCTGAATGATTTGGAAAAAATAACTCATTTTGACTGATATTGCGATTTAGAGGGATTTATTAGTTTTGCATCCTTATTCCCATCATCATTAAACATATATTAAAATGATTATGGTGTGATCTTCTTAAGAGTATCTGTAGGAGACAAATGTTTTGTTTACTTTGTAGAACAATAGTTGGCTCGGATATCACCACAATACTGAATACAACATTTTTAGCCTTTAACAATATTGAGCTTCCACAATTTGGAAAAAATGACTAGTCCATATTGCAATTTTGATAAAAGTGTGATTAATTGAGCAGCCCTAATCTTTATCATGTTCAAATTTGCTTCCAAGCTGCGATCACCATCTGAGAAAAAACCCCAATCAGCAGATTAGAACAGTACGCCTTGTCCAAACTCTCCCAGAACACCTTGTTGGTGGTTTCAGAATAAGAGGAGCTGTTCCTGCTCAAATGCCATCTCCTAGGTATTTGTTAATCTTTGTGATAAGACTTTGAGCTTTTATCCGTGCTACTTGAGTAGCCCCGATTCCCCTCCTTCTTGGCTTCCCAACGGATGTGACCTAATTTCTTTGATCAAGGAGTTCATTTGCACTTTCTAAATGTACTCACTGGAATGTATGGTTGTAAATCAAAGCCCTTAACATACAGAATCACTGTTCTATCTTAAAATTATGAAACATTTGTTTTGCCCACTTTATGAGCACATTCTCTAAGCCTCAGAGCATTTAGACAAAAAAATAAAAAAATAATCCCAAACTATAATAGCCCTGCATCTGAAATAATAGCATTCGGGAAAGCCATAAAAAAGAAAGAAAACAAAGCTTGCACATTCAAAATATATGGATCGATAATTTGTAAGATTAATCAAAATGCATAATGCAGTTAAAAGCACAAATATATGATTAGTGAAATAAATATAAAAGCACTACATCTGGAAAAAAAAGCATACGGAAAGCCTCAAAATGAAAAAAAAAAACGGTCAACAAAGCCTGCCTATTAGAAAATATGCATCAATAATTTGTAAGATTGATTTAAAATATATAAAGAAGAGGTAAATGAAATTTGTACAAATAACGATAAGTTAATTAATCAAATTCAACACATATTCTTTATTTAAAACCAGAGAAAAATACCTTTTTTTAGGTGTTGCCGGTGCTGTTGTCCCTCTATGTCTAAATAAGAGCTGAATAGAGCTTACCCAGTTCAATTTAAGCAACGTGTATACACACACACACCCATGCACACACACCCATGCACACATACAACGCTGATATAAGCATGACAATTGGACAGAGGTTAAGAGTTACGTAACAGGTAGAAATGAACAGTCATGATCAAGTGACCGAGGCGTGACACAGCAAAGAGAGTTAAAGATACAACAGAGTTTTACAGCATATGTCCCATAATGCAATGCTGTGAGCACTTGTTCACAACTTAAGTATTTTTTCATAATCAAATTCAGCCTCCCAGGGAATTACTTGTTCATATGTAAAAAGTAAAATAACAATGCTTTCCTATCCTTGAACTGACATTTATTTTTCATTCTGTCTCATTTTGGGGTTTGCAGGGAGATTGTACTCAGGCTGTTATCAGCTATATCTAACAGGGGTTAGGGTTATTCATCTTGGCTAGTAAGAGGATGAGGTTACATAGCTGCATAGTGGGTCAACATATGCAGGCTGATTACTGTGGCTCAAAGTCTTTTAGTCTGAGCTGATCACCTCTGTGTCGTGTTTCTTTTGTGTTGACCCCTGAACCCTGACTACTGCTAACTACTTGTAACACTGATAGTAAAACGTTTTTTTAATGTATTCTACATAAAGGGTGTAACTTGTAATGCTGTAACTTGTAATATGAATATAAACTAAGTTGGTTGAGACTGCTTTGGAGTTCACTTTTTAACGTGTAAAAGTTATTATTTAAAAGGCAAGAATCCATGTTATTCCCATGCATGTGTGAGTCTCTCCAGCTTCATGTTTTGACCAAACACGAGCAGCCAAGTTTTATGACTGTCAAATTGAGCGGAGTTCACAAATCTCTCACTCACTGAACACAATTTAACAAGCTTTTTTTCTGGTTGAGCTCCTCAGAAGCGAAATAGTCCGCCCACAGAATAAACCACACGTAAAAGGACAGAGGTCAAACCGTGATGAATGAATTCTCTATGTTTATTGTAACATAATGTGTCGATACATGTTTTTCAAATTTACAGTTAAACGGCTCAACTCTTCTTGTGTATGACATCATTAGCTGTTGTGAAATACGATAATAAAGGTCCTTCCCCGCCTTCTCTGCAATTACAAGTGTTGTCTCCCCTCAAGCAAACTACAGGCCTCAAAGGGATCAGCCTTGTTAGGAAACCACAGAGGCAATATGCAGACTAAACATGGGAAACTGCCAGTAAAACCGAGCGATTATACGTTCTTTACGTCTACCACACTGGTCTTCAGCCGCTCGTCACCTCTGTGTGGTTTTGTGGCCACATTTGTCTGGACCGCCTTCTCTTTCCTGCCTCATTTGCTCCATCTGTTGCCTCGGCGTGGATTGTGAACTCTCCGCACCAGGTGTTCCTCTCGACCGCTCGCCAATAAATGTCAGCTAACAGCAAACTGCTGCCGCTGCCTTCAAATCATACACATTCTAACTACTGCAATTACCCAAAAGGCAACGGCAGTTCGAGCTGCAAGCCCTCTGAGTGGACAATTGGCAAATGCATGTGAGATATCACGCCCCAACACCTCCTCACTTTCAGAGGTCTTTTGGCACCTCATAACCTGGCATCCTGCTGTTCTCAGAGGATCATCGGCCATTAGCTCTTTATTTATTTTCTTTCCCGCAGTAGTGATTACTTTGCATGGTATGTTTTCTTTACAAAAGGATAATTTCCTGGCAAATGCAAGCAGACTTTTGCCCAACTCGCCTGTGATAATCCAATTACCATAGTTTGGTATCAGTGTAGAGACAAAATCATTTAGTGTGTCAAAAGCCATTACAATACAGCACTTTTATTGCCCACAAGCCATATACTTATCTAATGTCTTAACAAGATGTTTTGCCAGCTTGAATTTCTTTATCTAAATGTGTGCAAAGAAGTAATAAACTGCACATTTATGGCGGTGTAAATCTTCAAAATATCAACTTAATTTTCCTAATAAACACATTTCTGTATTTTCAAACAGCACTGATCCTTCAATTTATAAAATCCTCCTGTTGTTTATTATTCATGTTATTGAGACCCCTAAATGAAATCTTAAGGCTAAAACTATCAAATTTAAAAAATGGATGCCGTGCTAATCCTGTTAAGCCACATTAATGCACATCACTGAGGGGGAAGCGTGAGTCTATATGAAACTGATGTCACGCCTACAGTTACAGTGAATAAATAGGTTCACAATAAAGGAGACTGATCAAATGTATCAGAGTACATCTAAGCAAAGTTAGAAGAGACAGTATTACAGAAAGTGGTAAAAGATTCACTGAAGGTGCAGCTAACAGCATGGCCAGAATCTAATTACCACTTGTGTCAATGAGACAGTGTAATGTACTGAAATAAGATAACTACCCAGTAGAGTGATCCTTGGCAAGAAGGTGCCCAGACTTGTTGTTATGTGTAAAAAGGCCTATGTCTTCTTGGTCATTTTGGATATATTCCCCAACTGAATCAAGCCTGCACCAGTTATGACAACACATTGGTGTATCTGTTCCTATCATTTGACACAATAAGACATTTTATATTGAAGTATTCTAACTTAATAGAGCAGTATAAATTGGCCAAAACTTTGAAGGACTAGGTGTTTTTCCTCTGGGAATGTATATGTACCATTTCATGCTACTTTGGCTTTAGTTACACATTCTGTGAATTAAGATTTTACATAAACAAAACCTGCGAGAAGTTTGTTATAAGTTAAACTATGTGTATTACAAAGTATCTTAATTTATTTCATCATTAATCCATTAGTATTACTAATAATCCAAAATATAATGATATAACAAAAATAGGGTATTTCTGAAACTAGTGTTTTAACTTTTGAAAATAAAGTTGTTTGCTACTTGTTATACTTAGTAATACCTATTTAAATAATACTTTACCTTTTATCATTGCAGTATTGCTCCTTAAAAACAAGTAACATAATTATTCTACCAATGTTTCCAGTGGTGGAATAAAACGTCTACATCACTTTACTTTAGAAGACAATGTTGTATTTTTTATTCACTACATTTATCTGACAGCCTTAGTTTAATACTAAGCTTATGGCTAATACAACATATACATCTTGTAAAAAAACATTGGTTATAGGTTAAGATATAGCAGCACTATACACATTAATTAAATGCAGGACTTTAACTGGTAACAGTGTTTTTTAAGATTTAGTATTTTCTACTTGTACTGAGTAGCCTACCCCCACTAACTCATAGGTCCATCAGAAGGACCTTTTCCATGAAACCCTAGTTAAACTCTTCTTTTTGCAGTTTAACAGTCTGTCTCCAGCTGATTTTCAGACTACCACATCATAAAAAGTGTGACTAACTGTGTCCTGCCCTGTGTGCATTACCACGCTGCACCGCTGCCCTGGGACGTCAACCAGGAGGCGGGCCGGTGTACTCTCACTGCATGGGCACCTCCGCAGATCAAATTTCTTGCAGCTGTACGTGGCAAACCCCGGAGGACTCCACTGCAGCCTTTCTGGATAAAACACCCAAAACAAGTATCACATGTGTATCTACGAGTACTTATACTATAACAACTTTAACGTCTACCCCGCCCCTCTTGGCTGTCAATCACAGCTCCACATGTCACCACTATGGGCATCGGACCGCAAGAGTTTGCACACTTCGTAAAGTTTCTTTCTCCGTGTGTGAATAATTTGCGGTTAACGATATGGTCAGTCCAGAACTATGGGACACCATGCAGGGGCGGTTTCTTAAAACCAAGAGGCAACCGTGAAACCTGATCTGACCACAGCTCTGTGTCCGAAACTATCGTAACACTGCTGATAGACGAAGAGTTAACAAAACCACTTTCTGACAAACAGGGAAAGAAACGTGTGAAAAATATGAAAAATGTTGCTTTTTCATTACTTTTCTGTACCGAGAAAGTTACGTGGACTTACTTTGGTGCCTTTCCTCCAGACAGTCCGCTTCTCGGCCGTTTTTTCACTTCACCGCTCCCATTTTCCAGACCCCCGCAGGGCTCCCGTCCCGCCGGTTGCAGTGTGCCCGCTGCTCGGCATGAGCTCTGCGGATCCCTCCTGTGTCTGCCCGTCACAATACACTGTCAGGAGCTGGAAAACACTGGGACACACTCGTCTGTTCCCATCCCATAAAGTCTTGACTTGCTTCGGGCTCGTTTTACCATCGTCAAGCCCCCCCAGCGTCCAAATGAAGATCACTTCCTGTCGATGCTTTCCAAAATAAAATGCTACAAATGCAGCAATAGCCTATTGATACAAATGCTTTGGTTCTATTCAATCACATTTGTATTGTTTCCTCGGCTACCGTTGCCAGGGTGCTTTTGATGTCAGGTCAGGATATGGACAATATTGTTATGTAGGCAACAACAATACATTAATATTACATAATCATTACATTGTGAAAGGTTTGATGATATCCATCAGTTTCGTTCATACCGTGATTTATCATTGAATACAATTATTAGCCAGGCTGTTTGTAGTTGCTCTGTTGTAGGCTACCAACTTGCGCAATGACGTTTGACAATATTTTTTTTTTGATGGTCATACCAATAAACATTGATGTAATGTAACTATTTACTCAAGAACTATACTTTTTGTAAAACATGTAGGTAGCCTACTTGTAGCCTACTTTATTCTATTATTTTCACATGATGCTACTTTATACTTTTTACTCCACTACATGTATTTACCTATTAAGTTACAAGTTACTTAGCAGATTTAGTTTAATACAAAATATAAATCGACACATACAGTATATTATCAAATGTTATTATAAGTTAAGCTACCCAGTAGCCTAGTAGCTATATAAAGTAGAGCAAATAAACCAAACTGCAACAGTGAAGTGATGAGCACATTAATCAATAATCAAATAGGCTAGTATTTTTTGGTTATTTTTTCAATTTGTATTAACACACTCACGTAACTTTAAAGAATATTCACTGAAACAAACAATATTGCCTCTAAGGCAATACGTAGTTTAGATTTTGAGCTCCTTAACCAACCCCCATCCCCTCAGGAAGCCTTTTGCCTCCTGTCAGGTCATCATTGAAAATAAGAATTTGTTCTTAATTGATTTTCCTGGCTAAATAAAGGTTCTACTACTACTACTTACGCTTTTACTTTGAAGGCCAACACGTCCAACTTCCGGTGTTGGACTGTATTTCTGACGCTGCTTCTCCGTGCGCCTTCTAGTGGAGAGACACTGCAAACAAACCCACATGAGAAGGAAATCTAACATTCAGCATTGCACAACAAGGCGGCGGTTTTGTTTCTATTGGCCTCAACACACATTTTGATGACACTGATTAAAAAGATAATGTGAACGGAAACGCAGACGTTTCCTGTTGCTACCCTCTGAAAGGTTATTTTACATGAGGGAACTTTTAATATGGTGGAAACCTTTGTTAAGACAGACCCTTCAGATGTATGTAAAGTAATTGATTATATACTGTAGTGCTTATATTTTCCTTATTATGATGTGTTATGAGGATAACATTGTTTGTAATTAGTTTGCAATAAGACATTAGATAATTTAAAACACTATTCTAGTTTTCTACACAGGAGAGCCAATCTATAGGAACACATTATGTTATTGTCACATGCCAAAACTAATCTGTGGAGACATTTGGCTACTTCCTGTTACAAGAGATAATCGAATAAATTCTCTAGAAGGGCCTGAAATACAGAGGTCAAGTGATGAGTTATGGTGAACATCTGTTGCTGCTCACACAGCACGAAGGGGCCTCCGCTCTTAATTTGAACCCTCATTTTGCTTTCCTCGTGAGAGCATGACTGCATCATTGCACACACCCATTGTAGGCTCAATACAAACAAATTCACTAATATTTGCACTCTCAGCGGTACATGCATTATTCTTGTAAAAAGCGTTAAAAAACATTTGATATAAAAGAATACAGACCATGATCACTTTGTTCCCTAAAAAAAGGCATGTCATACACTGAGCTGTGATAGAAAGAGGAACCTATTTTGACATGTCATTTGTTGTTAGACGTGTAGCAACTTGTATTCACACTCACACAGATACACACAGATACACACAGATACAGACAGATACACACACACACACACACACACACACACACACACACACACACACACACACACATACATTGTATGAGTGTCTGGGATTCCTCAAGCCTGTAAAGATAAGATAGGGCACAGGCAGAGAGATTGCAGAACAGAGCATGAGACTGGAAGTAGAAACAAAAAAAACCTTTGAAAGAAGCATGTGAAAGAGAAACCTGATATATGATGAGGCAAACATGACCCAAGTGAACATATATTATCACAAAGTATAGTGTGACACATTAGCCTATAAATGTATTTTAATTATTCAAGAAATGAGCTCGTTTTTATTCTAGGTTGTTTCCATTTAGCCAGTCATTCCCAGCACACTTAACCGTTATATGAACATAGAAATGTCCATATGACGTTTGCGGCATAAAGTAATTATAACAAATATACCTACTTCACAGAACATACCAGCTCTTTTTGACGGATTTGTGCCTCTTTATTAAACAGTGTGTTGTTGAAAATATCCCTATTTAATCTGGGTTGAAAGCATTCTGTTTTCAGCATCCATGGAGTTACATTTAAAGATTAGATATACACACTGTAAATACTTTTTTCTTTCCCCAGTGGATAATATATTATGTTCCGCTAGATGGCAGCAGTGCCACAGAGAGCCTTTAATAAAAACATGTAATATTAAATCAGGACCTTCACTGTTGTTGTTATCAGGCACGTGCAGAGAAGGGCATGAGCCCAAATTCATAAAAAGGCAATCTGCCATTTTTTGTTACTTTTAAATAAATACATGCCTGATATAATTACTTGTGTGACAGTTTGAAGGGATATAAAATGTATGTATTTAAATAAACCTATAGGGTTGGTTCAAACACTGATACATGACAGTTTATTAATGATACGTGCAGAAAAATGAATTATATTTCAGTACATTCTTCTAACAGATATAGCCCAACTCTGATCTATACAGAAGCTCAGTACTGCATGCAAAGATGCTGCCCCTCTCTTGCCTCCTTTTTTCTCTTACCACCTTTCCATAAATGCATCAGGAACAATGGTTCAGTAATGACAGGCAATAGGAAGATGCTGATATTGTACGGCTAAGATACTGTGCCAACAAATGAGTATAAAATAATTAAAGCACACAATTATAAAAAGCAACACATTAGATAAGGTGTATTAGACACAGGTTTATCCTTTTCTTTGCTTTATGTGAGATAATGATACGGATTTGTAAAAACAGTTCATTCAAAAAAGGGCACTTCTCCAATAGGAGAGCAAAAGGGCATGTGCTCAAGCCCCATTTGAGGTCTATCTGTGCACTTGCCTGATTGTGATTTCAGTTTAATCTTCAGAAAATATAGGTTAATTGTGTGGTGTCCGGGTCTGTGGAACCCGTTTTCATTATTTATCTAAAGAAAAATGATATGATAAATTATTTTTTCAAACTCACACTCAATGGCCATGGCTCAATTTCCGTGAAGAACATATATCAGAACACATTGTCAATGACCACCCACTGTACACCCCCCCTACACATTTACATTACATACAGGGTGTTCGTGTCCACTGGGGCTAACAAAAGTGTGGAAATTGTTGGTCCTGTGTACCTGTCTGGGCCTTCTCTCTGTGTGTGTGTGTGTGTGTGTGTGTGTGTGTGTGTGTGTGTGTGTGTGTGTGTGTGTGTGTGTGTGTGTGTGTGTGTGTGTGTGTGTGTTTGTGTGTGTGTGTGTGTGTGTGTGTGCATTATGTCTTGTGGGAACCAATCTTTATTTTTTTTGCACTCTATCCAAGCTGCACATTTTGGGCCTTGCAAATGATTCTGGAAGAGAGAGAACCATTTGATGATGATGTAGAGGAAGAGGAAGAGGTTGCAGAATGTGAGGATCACATTTCTGAGAATTCTGAGTCTGACAGTGACTTTGAAGAAGAGGATGAGATCGAGCATCAGCTAGTTACAACAACAAAAACGAGCCACAGGACCAGCCGGTCAGCGGGCAAAAACAAGTAGCACTTTATTCATTAATGTGATCTAACAAATGTAAAAGGGCAAATAGTAACCATATATGCTGTTTATATTACTTGTACACAAGGGTTAAATACCAGATTTAAAATCTGATACCGCATGAATCATGTTGAATATCTTGTCATTAAAGTGACTTTTGTCATTAAGAGTCAAAGCCACTCAAGCTTTTGCTGAAAGATGTACTCCTAATTTAAATACGAAATCCCTTTAATTAAAGAGAAGTAATTTTCTTTTATAAGTTGAGTTAAAATGAACAATCCCATATACATCATAATTGCTGGAAGAACCTTCACAGTCTTCATTGATATGGTGTGTTAAAGGGCATTTGTTTAAATATGAATATGCAGTGTGAGTGACTTCAAAATATATTGTTCCCAAAAGTCTTTATCTACGTCTCACATGCGTTTTGAATTATGTCCTCATTTATACTTTTTTAAGATTCAGAGGATATCATATTACATCATCCTCGTTTTGCCCGCACTGCATCCCTTACCTTCCCATACTGTGTGACGAGAGAGAGGTCTATTTCTAAGTTAGGTGAATACTTATACAATTTAGTTATTTTTAAATATACCTCCCCTCCTAATTATACTTAAATGTTCTTTTTTATTTTCTTGTGGAGAGTTGTTTCATTTCACATTTTCTAACAAAGCACAGAGCAGCATCAGATGTGTAGTGCTGAGTCATCATTCATCTGCTCTATTCCTGGAAGCAGGACAGCGATGTCAAGGTGTTATGTTTAAGAAGATCATCAGCTTACGTGGAATATGGGTCAACAGAGGTGAAATCTCTCTCTCGAGTATCATGTTGCACATTAATGTTATATTTCTGAATCATGTCTATAACCTTTGTTTACTGGCTCGTTGGCTTTAGTAGTCAGGAATCACTTTTGAAGGTTATGTTATCTCCCCACACACACACACACACACACACACACACACACACACACACACACACACACACACACACACACACACACACACACACACACACACACACACACACACACACACACACACACACACACACACACACACACACACACACACACACACACACACACACACACACACACACCAGGCAGCTGATGTCAGATGTTGACTGAAGTATTACCCTTGTGGTTTTTAAAAGCTTTTGTTATTTCTACCTGAATTCAAATTTAAAGGGGTTGGTTTTTGTTTACTTCATCAGCCAATAAGCATGTAACATTACTGGGTTCAGATTCAGATTCAGGATACTTTATTGTCCATTAAATTGACACATGATGTGTCTTTGGCACTGGCAAATAAACTCACCATACACAGAACCACATACAATTCATACACACACACAAAAAACAATAAAAAGGGAAAAGGGCTAAGTGATTTGGCAGTTTACTTAAGTAATACAAAAACGAACAAAGATAAAAAGGAGTGAAGGCATATAAATGCGTCGCTATGTGTCACTAGAAACGGACTTGCATTTGAGAGTGAGCGAGAGTGCGACAAAGCTTTAAGTACTTATGTTGATTGATTTTGTACAAATTTGACACTAATGAAAATAAATACCTTATATTTAATATTCTAATACCACTTTTGTTAAATGTAATCCTAGTAAACTACTCTTATATGAAATACATTTAAACCTATGTTTGACTTTACATAAAAAATCAATAGTGAAGAGTTGTAGACTATATGTAATAGTGGTTTACAGTATCACCTTATAATGGAATAATACAATCAAATATCTAACGTATAATCACTGACATTCGCTTGATCCAGGCTTTGGTTCTGGTAAATAATTCACCCAGTCCATAGTTTGTCTTTTACACCGTCACCCACTGTTGATGTTGTGGTAACCATTTGTTTGTGACTCATTTGTCAGGCAAGGTTGGTTGGTGGCGTCTTTTGAAAAAGAGCTGAAAAGACTGACGCAGGCAAAACAGGCAGCAGAACACAGGGGACCTGCAGGGAAGGTCCTTCGTTATCTTTAATTACTACCACTCCTAATTCACTTAATCTGTGGAGCCTGCTGTACAGCGTGTATATTATACCAATTAAAGCACGGTTCAGGTGTCCTCATGCAGTATGGCTGAGGTGTCTCCATGGCAAGAAAATGTCCCCACTTGGCACATCAGGACATGTTTGTTTACCAAAAACAGCATATGGAGGTCGATGCTATGGGATCAACTGTATTTCCATGATATACACTTAGTATATTAACATCAAAATATCATTATCAATACACATTACTTCCAGAGGAGTATGGTAACTGAGGGGGAGAGGCCTTGTGTGGCTCCAGCCTGAATGATAACACAGCTTTTAGAGTAGACTAAGGCCTGTTGTCAATCCTCTTACATTGTGCCTCACTGAAAATGGATTAGAGGCTAACACCTACGTTTTAGCCCCGAGTAACTTTGAAGGGATTTGACTGAATAGGCTTGTAGCTGACACTGGCTTTATATATTGACAATCAATCAAATGTTTTCCCAATTTTAAATATACTTTTTCTTAGGGAAGTTCGCTCAAAGTTCAATTTGCATTTCAATTTTCAATTGGATATTTATTTTTGTGATGGTAAGGAACCCCTAGGGGCTGGATGGGATTTTATCCGTCTTTCTTCAGACATGCTTCCCGTGAACAGAAGTGTTTGTGGAAACGCTCAGGAGCCTTCAGAGGCGCTGACTGCGGGACATAAGTAGCTCTCCAGGGTGCTGAAGTTGTCTCCAAACGCGACAGACGCACCGCGCAGCCCTCTGCCTGCAGCCTGTCACTTTCAGCTGATAATCCAAACACAATGAATTGGCTGTGTCTTCAGCGGAGCAACACCGTGGATGCTCGGGATCAATAGCTATATTCAGAATATTTGGAATCAGAAAAGCAGAACCTTGGGAACACGTGTGTGAATGCCTCATTGGACCCTGAAGCTGGCCTGATGGCACTAGATAAATGGTAGGTGGTCCATTTGTTTAAAATCCGCCATTCACAACTTACTATAGCCATTTGTTTAAGAATTAGAAATACTTTTATCTTTGTCTGTTTTGCAGGTGTCACTGTTAATTCATTAGTGAACATGAAGATTCATTATCTTGGACATCCTGGAAGGACAATGCAAAATATTCATCCACCTTTCAGAGGGGCACTGTGGGAGTCCAACCATCCATGTATGCCAGTAATTAAAAGCAGACCAACTTTTACGACACTGCCCTTTTATAACTTTCTGTTATGGGTCCTCCTCGGAGTATTGACATTCCCTTGTTGTGTCCGCTGTTTAATATTCAAAGTGGGGGTCCTGGGGCCTTGGAATTGCGACCCTGTGCAGAACAGGGCTCTGCCGGCTGCAGCCGCAAGGCTCGCTGTAAACAGGATAAACGGAGACCTCAATCTGGATCTAGGCCTTAAACTGGACTTTATCATTCTCCAGGAACCTTGCGAAACCTCCACAGCTCTCACTGCATTTATTTACAATGAGAACAAGGCGGATGTGTTTATTGGCCCCACAAACCCGGGATACTGTGTTGCCGCTTCTCTGCTTTCCAAGAACTGGGATAAGGCCCTCTTCTCGTATGGCTGTGTTAACTATGAGCTGGACCGGGTCATAGGATACCCAACCTTTTCCAGGACAGTACCTTTTCCCTCTGAGGTGCTGTTCATCGTGTTGAAATACTTTAGGTGGGCCAGTGTTGTGGTGATCTCAACCAATGAGGATATATGGAGGGACACTGCTGCGAGAGTTGCTACTGCTCTCAGACGTGAGGGTCTTCCTGTTGGCCTGGTTACATCCATTGGCATGAATGAGACAGAGATGGAGAGCACACTGAGGAAAATCCAGGAAGCAGGAGAAATCAGGGGTGAGTCTATGCTGACATTAATACAGGAGCTAGCAATTATAACATGTGATACTTTATATGTTAAGGTGATACCAGATGATGAAAAAGTAGAATAATATCATTAAAATGTTATTATATGCAGTCGTAGGGGACTTACAAAAAAAGATAGTAATATAAAAACATGTGGAGCAGGAATTAAATCACAGGCTGAACTGCAAAACATCAAACCCTCATCTGTTTTGATTTTCCCCACCAGGATTTTCTCCCTTTCAAGCTGGAGGCAACACATCCTCTTTAATAGGCTTATCATTCCAAACATGCTTCATTGGCATGAGTGCAACAAAAACAGCCTTGCGAGAGTGTCGAGTACTAGTGAGATTAAAGAGAAAATAATGCCATTTGACACTGCAGATTTCACCTTGTGGTTAAGGTGAACTGGGGCAGAAGCTTCATTTGTTTGTTTTAAATAATAATCAAGTGGAAAAAGCTGAGTTTGGGAGAAAAGTGAAATTACAGGGAACCTCGACTTCTTATTTTTAACAACTTTGAATACTTGAACTAAATGTGTAGGAATATATACTATAATAAGTGTTGCCACTTGCATCTAATCACAATTACCCTTCTTTCTGATTCGTCTTCAACTTTTGGAGTACATTATGTAAACTCCACTTGAGCTAACACATGTTATCACTCTACCTATGTCCATAAAAACAATATTTTGCAAAACCTTACTGTGTTTTTCCGTATCAATTTCAGTCATCATCATGTGCATGCACTCAGTCCTCATTGGAGGGGAGCAGCAGGCTACCTTTCTTCTCAAAGCACAGGAAATGGGCCTGACCTCAGGGAAGTATGTATTCATGCCCTACGACACCCTCCATTACAGCCTGCCCTACACGAACGTCTCATTCTTCCCCCTGCAAAACAACAGCAGGCTGAGGGAGGCCTATGATGCTGTGCTCACCATCACCATGGCCTCTGAGCCTTTTTCCTTCAATGAGGCATTCGCTGCCGCCAAGAGGAGTCAGGAAATCACGCTAGACGTGCAGCCTGAGCAGGTAGTAACCACGTCAAAAACGAATCATCAACAGCTGTTTTTTTTATTAAAATGTTCACTTATTTTGTTCTTCCACCACAGCCCCCTAACTGAAAGCGAGTTGACTCAAATGTTGCAACTTGTGCTTTTGCCGTGTTTGCTAACACCGCTAGCATGTTAGCATAGGTGGGAGTAGTAGTCTACTCAGATCATATACTTGAGTAAAACTAGAAAATGTAGGAATACTCTGTTACAAGTGAAATCCCTGTGATATGTGCCTTGTTAAAGCACTTTGAGCTGCACCTGACGCATGAAAAGTGCTTTACACATGAATTGTATAGTTATTATTCAAAGTAAAATTGCTCATTATGCAAATGTGACACTTATTTGACACATGGGTCATTCCAGAATTGGAGGACAATTTAGACACCAATATTTTTGAAAAATGAACCTTTTATTTTATTGTATTTAGGAAAAACAGATGATAAACCATAAAAAAAAGTGATTTGCCCAGCTAAGGCATCAAATGTACACTTTTTATTAGATGTTTTATTTGTTGTGTGCCATGCTTTGTGCAACCCTGTTACAAATACTCATTAAGCAGAAAAAAGTATTTTCAAAAATATTCTTCAATAAATTCTTTATCACATTTACATTAAATACTCATGTCGTTTTTGGATAAAACTGGTTTAATTTTATTATTTTAATAGAAAAAATGATATAGTAACAGGGTTGAAATTAGAGTAACAGGGTTGCGTAAGGTAACAGGTTTAAATGGATCATGACATAAATGAGACAAATAAATGTTACTCTAATTATAGTAACAGGGTTGCAGGCTTTTACCTCAGGAATTAATGCTAGCTGCACAATGTAATGCTATTGTCAAGGAATGGACACACTTAGATATTTAACTAAAGAAAGATACATTTGAAATGAATTTGTTTTAGTCTCATAATGTGAGTAACAGGGTTGTGTTTGTATGAGTGCCACACTCCTTCAAGAGTGACAAGATTGGAAATATATAAAAAATAAAAGAGAGGACTTAGTTTTGTCCTACCCATGGTAGTAGCACATGGCTTGCTGATGTCCTTTCCACTGTGTCATGTGTCAAACAGTTTTTTCACTTCCTCTGCCAAGCTAAAAAGGTTTGGGTAACAGGGTTGCGCGCATGTTGAGGGACACACCTTCAGTGTAAAATTACTGTTATTTAAAATGTGTTAGTGATTTAACAAATTGATTTTACCATTACAAGAGACATATATCAATAGAATAATACCAACAAAAGTAAATAAAAAAACATATTTTAAATGTTACATTTGACATGCAAGTTGGTCACCAAGAAGCTGGGACAAGAGAAAAGGGCCATTTTAGGGGATGTTCGAGAGCTATTTGATATTTTAAATAATATTTTGAAACCACTTTTTCTACAACTTTATATGCATCTTGTCTCAAGACAAGTATATTTAACACAAGTGCATGTTTTAGCTTTTTGGGCATGGATTATTTGATTTTGTATATGTGGGACATGCAATGTCCTCCAATTCTGGAATGACCCACATATTGTATGTTTTGATTATAATTATGGAGGCATTCATGTTTTTTTCAAAGCTGGTAAAGGTGCAGCTTTGTACTCTGCAGGGTGGCTTGTGAATGTTACTCAAAGTGTAACTAAAGTCCTTTTAAAGTGTTGTTTATATTTGTCATTATTAATGCAAATGTGCAAAGTAACTAAAGGTATTAAATAAATGTAGTGGAGTAAAAGTACACCATTTACCTCTGAATTGTAATAGGGTAAAAGTACAAAGTAGCAAAAAATCTCTCAAATGTTACTTTAATACAGTACTTGAGTAAATGTACCTAGTTACATAACACCACTGCATGTTAGCAAACAGACTGCGACAATTTACTGCTCAACATTTCATGATGGGGTGAAATATAATGCTTAACACATCATGTCTTTTCTTGCAGGTTAACCCACTATTTGGGACTATCTATAACAGCATATACCTGGTGGCCAAGTCCATCCACAATGTCAGGAAGGCAGGAGAGCTGCTGTCAGGAGTCAACCTGGCGTACTTCACAAAGAACACAAACTTCACCGGATTCAACCAGAGGATCATGGTGGACGCTGCTGGGGACGTTCTGACCAAGTACGTCATCCTGGACTCTCACGGCATTGGGAGCCAGCTCTACCAGACCTTTCTGTTGGACCTTAAGTCCAGAGTGCTTAGTTTTGCTGGCAATATCATTCATTTTCCTGGAGGATATCCTCCGCCATCTGATTCAAGCTGCTGGTTTGACAAAAACGTCCTCTGCACTGGAGGTAAGGGGCTTCGCTTTGGCATGTGTGTGTGTATTCATGTGAATGACGTATGGATGTGTGGTTTATCAAGCCCTTCACAGTTGCATCTACTCCATGCTTTTCCCCCAACATCAAGTTACCTGTTGTCATCCCCAGGTGTGGAGGTCACCTACATCATAGTGGTGTTTGCTGTCATCTTGTCTATGGCTGTTGGAGGGCTCCTTATTGGTCTTTACATCAGGTACAGCCTGTAGATAGATATAGGTTCTTCTTTTAAAGCAAACAAGTAGCAGTGTTCCTCTCCTGTGCTTTTCTTCAGCTGCATCCCACACATTTGATATGGAGATATTTTGCATCATCATTTAGTGTGCACAATAATGGATGTTCTGTGTAGATGCTTGAGCATGAAAAGGGTATAGAGAAAAATAGTAACAAAAGGTAGAGAATCATATTTGGAAAAAGAAAGCAGAATAACCAAAACATTTATAAATACTGTTGAAATCTAATTAACGTATTTTCCAAAAGTGTATTGCTGATAATCCTGACCCTCATTTAATATCCAAGTACTTTTTGCCGACAGGATACTAGAAGTAGTTCTCACATAGGTGCATTTATTTTGGTTATCTGTCTTCACTCTGAAGATAAGAGGATCCCGAGTTAGATTTATAAATCCCGCTCCCTCCTTTTGTACCAATTTATTTATCTTTTTCTTGATCTAATTTACAGGAGGAGACTCCAACAAATCCGACTGCTCAAAGGTCCTAATCGGATACTCCTGACTTTAGAAGATCTCACATTTATCGATCCTCAGCCAAGCAACAAGGTAAGCATCAGCAAATCTCTTTTCCATGTGTTTTCTGCATTATACTGTACTAAGTAGCCATATCACATTGAATTAAACGTTTCAGGATGGTACTCATTCCATAAAATATTCCACTGTTGTTTTATTTCCCTCAGAAACTTAATTTAGAAGATCTAGGCGACTCAAAGAGCGCTATAGAGGAGAAATCTGGAGACCGCTCACACTCTGTAAACAGCTTACAGACAACCACTCATGAGACCACCAATGTAGCCGTGTACGAGGTATGTAACACTGAGAGTCATTCCTCCTGCTGCTTCAGCCTGTATGTGACGTTGTCCTTCTAAAGCTAATGTCTGGGCCGTTAACTCTTATAGGACATTCAACAATGACACAACTCTTGCCATTTTTTTAAGAGAGTGTAAACCCATTCAACACTTGGTTTTAATGTGTCATTGATTTATGTTTAAATCAATTTTTGAGGGAGGTTGAGGTTAGGTTTGACTATTTGTTCTAGGTTAGTGAAGATTTAACTTGGCTTTAGTTTTTGTCCTCTCAAATATTGTGTACGATTTAAAGTGGTTTTAAATCAGGAATCACAACAGTACGTCCCAGATACTCACATGAAATGTGGATGGATGAATGAACAGGCAGCAGTAAATGTTTGTTTTTTCAGTAGTAAAATAAACATTTTGTCTAAAAGAGTTTAAAACGTTTTGAAGTCAATAAAACCATATGTTAAAAATGTGAAACACTGAAGTGGATCCCACTGCAAACACATGACTTCTCTTCCAGGGCGACTGGGTGTGGCTGAGGAAATTTAAGAAGGGTCAGTTCAAAGAAGTGAAACAGAGCACCATCAGGATTTTCACAAAGGTAGAGAAGCATGTCCTCACCTAAGTTCCAGTAGTAATAAGTGCTGTAGCTAACTATTGTAATAAAAAATGCATTCATACTTCTGGATCATTACAACATAATTCCTTATCTGCTTTCTCAGATGAAAGACCTGAGAAACGAGAACGTGAATCCGTTCCTTGGCTTCTTTCTGGACTGCTCTATGTTTGCGGTGGTGACGGAGCACTGCTCCCGGGGCAGTCTGCAGGACCTGCTGAGAAAAGAGGACGTCAAATTAGACTGGATGTTCAAGTCCTCGCTTTTGCTCGACCTCATCAAGGTAAACGCTGATGAACTGCCCCATTGGTTTGTTGACATTTATTCTATGGTTAACCACATTGTAAAACATATTGTGCCTCCAGGGTATGAAATACCTTCACCACAAAGAATTCCCCCATGGCAGACTTAAATCTCGTAACTGTGTGGTGGACGGGCGTTTTGTCCTGAAGATTACTGACCATGGCTTCAATGAGCTGCTGGATGCTCAAAAAGCTCCTTTAGAAGAACCTCCACCTGAAGGTATGAAAGAATGCCTCACTGCTATTCATGACTATCCAATATACAACATTAGCCTTTCAAAGGTGCTGTTAAGATGAGGTTGAATGTTTTAACCTATGCTTGTATTTATAGTAGTACAATTACTAAACATAATCAAAGACAAAAACAAATGAGCAAATTGACAGCACAATTGAAGCACAATTACAGCACATACTAGAGCACACCCTCTGAAAAAACTGAACATTAAATGTATTATGTCAACAATTTACACATAATTGTATTAGGTAAGTTGCAAGCAATAATATTAAGTTGAAACTAATATTCTTTATTTAAACTTAATTGCTTTTAGTATGTGTAATTTGTTGAAATAATACATTTAATTGAAGTCAATGTTTCACTTTGTTCAGTGTATCATGTTTCAAACTTTCTTTGTCCATTCTTTTTTCCACAGAGTTATTTTGGACAGCTCCAGAGTTCTTAAGGGACACTGCGAACTCACGCAAAGGCACCTACAAGGGAGACGTGTACAGCTTCTCCATCATCCTTCAGGAGGTGGTGGTCAGAGGGCTTCCATACTGCATGCTGGGTCTGACACCCGAGGGTGCGTATCCATCACGGAAGAGAGAGGACTGTTCATTAGTTTGAGAACAATGAGGTGGAGATTTGAGAACATTTCATACATTTTTACTACATTCTGATTTGTTCCATGTCTCCTCACTAGAGATCATACGTAAGGTGAAGAAGCCCCCGCCCATGTGCCGCCCCACTGTGGCCCCGGACCAGGCTCCTCTGGAGTGTATCCAGCTGATGAAGCAGTGCTGGAGCGAAATGCCAGAGCGCCGACCAACATTTCATGAGATCTTTGACCGGGTACATTTTGATATGATTGGCAAAGTTAAAAATAACACAAACATAAAAGTGTACAGTGCAGGAAGAGGCAGAAAATACTCTGGGCTTATTTGAACCCTCAACCTGAATAATGGCAAATGTCAAGTTATAGAGAACACAAGATTGATTATACAAAAATTATGTTAATTCAATATTGATTGCATATTGTCACTATGAGTGAAACAAAACAAAGCAAATACAATTATACGATATTGATACATGGATATAAAAAGATAGGGAAAAGCAGATCCATGTTTTTTTATGTGTTCAACATAAAGATTTTTTTTGTAAGGTGGAAAAGCCATTTCATAATTTGGTATTAGATTGACATGCTTTATAAGAATGCATTTTGAACTTCTCAGGATTATTCCTTTCATCAAACCTTTCTAATCTTATGGCCGGTTATCAAACAAATAAAACACTTATTAGAATAGAATATTATGAGTATCATTTAATGTGATTCTGTATTGTTTTTTTATTGCGAGTAGTTCAAGATAATCAACAAGGGGAAGAAGACAAACATCATTGACTCCATGCTGCGGATGCTGGAGCAGTACAGCTCCAACCTGGAGGATCTCATCAGAGAGAGAACAGAAGAGCTGGAGGCGGAAAAACAGAGAACAGAAAAACTGCTGTCAGAGATGCTGCCACCGTGAGTGTATACTGTACACACACATAAACATCAGACAACAACATAATGCTCATTTTCAGGTTCATATTAGTATGTTGTGCCTCTACTGTGACATGTTTCCATGTTTTAATGTTCAAAAAGGTCTTTATTTTTCCATACTGCCTGTGCTGCAGCACCTCTTTTCACCCTCTGTCTGAAACCAGAGCCCAGTCTGCTCTGATTGGTTAGCTGGCCGGCTCTATTGTGATAGGTCAACTGCTTAGAAATGTTGCGCAGTGTGCTGTCAGTGATGTCACTATGTTCAGGAAGTAAACAAAAGAGTCCCTTTCGATGCGTTTAGGGATTTTACCCTTTGCAAACCATTAACATTCACCAAAAATAACACACTAAAGGAAAGTGACACCCCCAAAAGCATAGTAGGGCCCCTTTGAGATACAATTACTGACTATCTGTTTCTTGTCACTTTTCTGCCCGTCTTTAGTTCTGTGGCCGAGGCCCTGAAGACCGGAGCCACAGTGGAGCCAGAGTACTTTGACCAGGTGACGATCTACTTCAGCGACATCGTAGGTTTCACCACCATCTCCTCGCTCAGTGATCCCATCGAGGTGGTCGACCTTCTCAATGACCTCTACTCTCTGTTTGACGCCGTGCTCAGCAACCATGATGTCTACAAGGTCAGAGAACATGCTCGATATTTACAAGGGTCATTTAAATGTTAACATGCTATACAACAGCTTGTGTCTACAGTCCAAACACTGATTCAAAATCTAAGATTGAAAGGTTTTATTGTCAAACGCACAAAAGTTACAGCGTGGTTGTTGGCAATGGAAACACCCAGGCTTCTCCAACAGTGCAACATACAGGACATTCAATAAGACACAATAAGTGACACAACGGTGCAAGAAAAATGCAGAAATAAGTAAACTACTTCATTTCAAATATGATGAAGAATGTCAAATAAAATACTGTACAGTGGAATAAAATACTTTTGACTGTGCTTCAAAGAGCTCAGGAATGTTACAGTCTTATGTGCCCATAACTGAATAAATATGTTGACAATATCTAGGTGGAGACCATTGGGGATGCTTACATGGTAGCATCTGGTTTGCCCAAAAGAAATGGCAACAAGCACGCTGCTGAGATTGCCAATATGTCCCTGAACATTCTCAGCTCGGTGGGAACCTTTCACATGCGGCACATGCCAAACGTGCCCGTCAGGATACGCATAGGCATCCATTCAGGTGAGATTCTTCACATTGTTATTGTTCTAACACTCGATAAGCACGTGGGACGAATACATTATTTTCTGATTATTTTTGTTGTGTATTCAGGGCCCTGTGTTGCTGGAGTGGTCGGTCTGACGATGCCTCGGTACTGCCTTTTTGGAGACACCGTCAACACTGCGTCTCGTATGGAATCCACTGGGCTGCGTGAGTTTCCTGGGCACACATTTAGTTGTGTAGTTTCATGTTTTGTAATAGTCTAATAACTTCTTCCCTCCTCTTTGTCCCTCAGCTTATAGAATCCATGTTAACATGAACACTGTGAAAATCCTCCATTCTCTAAATGAAGGTTATAAAATAGATGTGAGAGGCAAGACAGAGCTGAAGGTAACGTGACATTTTACAAATATGTAACCTCAGTATTTGGTATGTGGACAAATATTTTGAAGGAGACCTATAAATCCATGTTTTCTCGTTTGTTTGTTTTTTAGGGTAAAGGTATTGAAGAGACTTACTGGCTTGTAGGGAAAACAAACTTTACAAAGCCTTTGCCAAGTCCGCCAGAGATCAAACCGGGGTAAGAAATTCAAATGTTGTTACTTCTTTCACCTTTTGTATGGCTTAACTCTAAAATAATAAGTAAATGTATACCAAATCCCAAAATGATTACCTGTCCCCAAGTTGAAATTGCCAATTTGGATGTTACGTTTCATTCGTGTTATCAATCCATAACTGCCTGCTGCCTCTGATACACTTTCGATGATGCAAATTATAACTATCTGAATGTTACTTCAGGGAAGACAGCCACGGTCTGAACCCTGAGGATATAGCTGAGTACAAGAGAAAGAAAGCTGAGAAAAAGGCATGACTCTCTCAGTCCAAACACAGGAGGTTAGAGATCTGCATGGCAGCCGGTGTTGTGTTGTGGAAATGTGACTGTGGCTGTGTCAGTTTGATGTGACCAGAAACGACGCCTGAGTCTGACCTCTCTCATTTATTCTGTGCTGTATTAGTCTCAATAATCTCTTGATCTTATCACCTTCTACATCTTCTTAAGCAGATTGGGGAAAGCCCTCTTTGTTTGTTTCACTCGTTTTTACTGTGACTAGCTGGTATTTTTTCATAATTAACTCATTTATTCTCCTGTGTTTTTGTGTTTCTTGTGGCATGCCTTCAAGTGTCTCTGTAAAACCCAATATCGGTCTTAACTCCACCATCTGCATCTCCTAGGGACAACTGGCAGGAAATGGTGACTGAGGAGATCAAGACTCTTTTTCGCGAGGCCAACAGGCAGGTGGATAAAAAGACCTGAAAGAAAGGAAGAGAAGGAAAGATGTGACAAAGGAAGGAAACCAGAGGAAGGACAGACAGAAGGACACATCCTGAGGAATAGAGAGCTGGAGCACCCAGGCTCTCACTGTGGCTTAGTGCAGACTTGTTTAAGAGGATTGTCCCTGGACTGGCTAATCTACCTGCAGCCAGCACAGCAGAACATTACGGTGCTAATGTAATGAGAGTTGTCCTTCGCATTACCTGTCTACGTACCAGCTGCAGCGCGGGGAAGGTGAACCGCTCCTTAGGGAAGGATGCACTTATTCACTCCTCTTATTCACTCCTCCGTGCACTCACCGGCCATAGGGTGGTCACCTATTTCACCCATCAGAAGATTGAATGCCCCAAACGCCTGTTTCAAAATGAAATGTAATTTTTTTCTGGGGGTAATATCTTTTTTTGTTTGCCACGTAAGCTCATAATAGAGTTGTGGAGCTGAGGATGTTACTTTGTTGTGGCCAGGTTTAAGTTATTAGACGTTTGAGACAATGGCTGCTATTATATGATCATCAGAAGAGAGAATATTTAAAGGGCCCATATCATGCTTTTCCGGTTATTACCCGCCCCCTTGTGTGTTATGAAGGTTTTTATGCATGTAAACGGTGTGCAGAGTCAAAACCCTCAAAGTACACCCTGTAGCGAGTAAAACTCTAACACAGAAAATACCTCCCCAAAACGCCTCGTTGGAGATACGTCATTGTCCATTTGATTCTTCCATTTCGTTCCGGGTACGGCATGACATCATGCCGTACCCGGAACGAAATGGACCAATCCGTGGAGCCATTACGTTAAGCCCCCGCTGATTGGTTCAAATTGACCAATCCACGGACTTCCTCACACACACACTCAATGTGCAGGCAGCAGGCAGCTCAGCTGATTTCTCCTCCCTGGCTGCAGGCTGATAACAGACAGTTGGGATCGCAGCGAAATTCTCTCTGCAGACCCATTCTCACAGCGTTTATCAACCTTTTTCTTACTCAATATCAAGCCACACTTATTGTTTTTACTTCGGCTGTGAGTTTGTGTGTGCTCAGGATGAGTTTGGCTGTGTTTCGCTGTGTATCCTAAACAAGGAAACAACACCTCCACGGAGCTCAGCGCGATTCACAACGTCCCGACCAATCAGAGCACACTGTGCTCACAGGGAGGGTGGGGGCTGGAGCTATTGGAGCTACAACGAGCCGTTAAAGGCAGAGAGTGAAATTCAGTGAATACAAGTAGTTTACAGAGATGCTGTATGAGAAACCAATGTGAGTTTGGAAAATTGCACAATATAAATCTATTCTAGTATACCTCAACAATGGAATTATGATCAGTGGAAATGGCCATGACATGGGCCCTTTAAAACAATATATTTCTACTTTGATTGAGAAAGATGACAAGGAATATTAAAGACTAAAATAGAGCTTTGACCTTTTTTTACACTGATGAAAGTGTGACTCAGTAATGACAATGCAACAAACATATTCTTCTTTCATATAGATTTATATGAAATACAGTTTTCAGGTCCTTTAGTGATATGTATCGCTATTCTGTCACATGTGGTTCATCCTAACTCTCTTTGAACCAATGACACACTGCTGTGCTTAATCTAAATCGTTCTCTTATTTTAATGATGAAATATGAGTCTGGGTTTGCATTTTCCAGAGATATTTTCAGTGAAGTTCATAAATATATTGAACAAACACAACACACAAGTTTAGTACTTCTCTTCATAATGTACATTTGCAACTCCATGCATTTCCAAAGGTTGCATTTTGCAGAGTAAATACAAACAAACACATTTATCTCAAAAACATAGCAAAAACATTCATGGTGACCAAAAAACAGGCATACTCACATGTTGCCTTTTTATTGTGCATAAATGGATTGATTGGTGAATAACTGCAAGCACCAAAGTGTCTGTACACCTAACAGCTGTGTATGTATCAATATAGGAAAGAACGCAGCATAGGAAAGTATGTTGGAAGTCAAATCAATGTCTATTTATATAGCACCAAATCATAAAAGAAGACCTAGACCGTAAACGTTTGCATTACAATTGCAAAGAAGTGACATCAAGTTATATCTCTGTGTTCAATGAAGTGTGTTTATTGTGAGGCTGATGATGTGCTAATTGTTGTGCAAATCTGGGCTACAGTTTTTCTCTTTGAGTGTCTATATCAATGATTGTATGTCATTTCATTGTGTTAGCAATACAAACTAGGGTTACAGATTGTAACCCAAGTTCTTTAAGCAGGTATGATACATTTAAAGATTTTCATAACGATGCAAGATGTGTCTGAAAGTTGTGCAGCCGCTGAAGAGCCCCATCTAGTGTTCAACATTACGATTTCTAAGGAGCATTAAGTGGATTTGAATGCTTCCGAGTAAACAATATTAATCAATATGCAATTTATCAAAAAAGGACATATAGGTATATTATAAGGGAATACCAGAGGATGCACATATAACATAATTTCAACCTAAAAAGATAATAATAATGAAATGTGTTATTTGATAGAAATGTTTTTGAAAAAGCGTTGTTTTGATCTAAACCCCTAAATATTGAGTCAGCGCTAAATTAAATTATACTCGTTTATTTTTAAATAACTGTTAAAATCTCTGTATGTCAACATCTTAATATTGGTAATATAAGCATGTTTTATTCATGTTTTGGTGTTCAAAACAACAACAGTCAGTCTGAAATATGTATATTGTGTAATTTATGTTATTAATACATTTATGAGAATATGACTTCGTAAAATAATGAAATGATTCATTCGTAACACCTTTGTTGTTTGGCTTTCTTTACATTGTAGCCAGCTACAGCTCTCATCTTGGTATTCAAGATCTATTGTTATTTGCATTTTTGACACATTTATGTGTTCAAATGTACAATAATGAAAAGTAGGCTTAAGATACAGTAATGCTTGGTCTGTATGGGAGCACCTTTGAGACTTCTAATTTGTTTTTATCAATTACTACACCTTTTTATCTGCTGTGCTGGAACTGCATGAGATTGCCACTATCTCAGGGATGCAAACTTGTTACCTTTCGGCGAAATTCGCCGTTTTGATTCCAAAATAGGTCGTTTGTGTGATTCATGTATATCTGCAATAAAAATATTTTTGGGGTATTTTTTTATATATCATAATGAAGCGCGAGCTGTGTGCTCGAGTCTTCCTGCCTGTCGGCTCTGCTCATGGATGTATAATGGCGCGTTTCCACTACAGCGCGGAGCACGGTTTAAGAGGGCTGTGACGTCAGCGGCCCGTCTTTGGTTGCGTTTCCACTTGGCCTAGTACCGGCCGGCGGGTCCTAATTCACAGTTTTTCTGGCCTCATAAAATCGTGGGTCTAGGGCCAGAGACAACGAGGCTGAGTATGCTAAACTAGAGAGAGCATCGCTGGCAAGGGGGCTACAACTACAACAAGATGGACATATTTGACCGTGATTTAATTGTAATACACGTTTCAAAATGATGCCGAAGTAACAACATACTGATACCGGTTAGTAAAAACCATGAATTAATGCTTTGACAAGTCTGCAGACAGACGGCAGGTGAAAAACCTTTTAAAATGCGTGTTTTCTAAATGGAGATTGGCTAAGCTAACGCAGTGTATGCTCCGACCGTCCACACTCACAACAACGGCCTATACAGACATAAATAAAGCAGCTACTGTATTCGCCATGACACAGACAGTCTGTGGTTTGTACTTGTTTAACTTTTGTCTAGTTTCTGAACGTATATGAGGAGCTGTGAGCTCTGAGTGCTAACAGCTAACGGCTGTGTTGTTTTTCTGGGGTTCTCATTGAAGATGACGTCACGGCTCAATATATATGATATGTTTTATAATGATTGATCATTAAAGTGTTCTCCAAGCTGGTAAAGGTGCAGCTAGTTTGAATGACTTTGTATACTGCAGGGTAGCTTGTGGATGTACTCCAGGTGGAACTAAAGTCTGATTTAACACTTGATTATATTTCACATCATTCATCCACATCTGTGAAGTAACTAAAGGTATTAAATACATGTAGTAGAGTAAAAGTACACCATTTACCTCTGAACTGTAGAGGAGAAGAAGAACAAAGTAGCAAAACATTGAAATACTTAAATAAAGTACAAGTATCTCAAAATTGTACCCAAGTATAGAACTTGAGTTTATGAACTTAGTTACTTTACACCACTGGCTATAAAGATAGAAAGACAGCCTTGCACAGAGGCATGAAAATACATTTTCAAAATGCTCAACAGTGCTGCCAAAATTATAAACTGACTGCTCCACAATTAAAATAAATGCTTAAATATATTTCTATTAGATGTGACTCTTTGGCGTTTCTGTTATTATTAACACTGCTGCTTTAGTTGTTCTGACTGCTAAAATCCTCTGTTATTCCTCATTTTAAAGCCGATATTCCGTGGGGTCGGGGGGCTCGGATCCTTGTCACCTTTTTCATACCTGATGAGTTTGCATCCCTGCACTAGCTATCAGAACCCTGCACTCCAGTTCCTGCACTGCTGAGTCTGCTTTTCCTCTGTTTGGGACATCCCAACTAAAATCCCACTGACTTTTATGTAGGCCAGTGGTGGTTAGGGAAGTGAACCACGAAATATTCGGCATAGTTTTCGACGGGAGATTAGCAATGACCCCTACATTCCAGACCTGGAGGTTTTGTTCATCCTCCAGCCGACTGGAAAGATTGTTTACCTTTTCCTTTCAGATGTTATCTCTAGCGAGCTCACACTCCTCTGCTTAAACCTCCAGAAGACTCTATCAACTGTTTGGATGGTATTCAGACATAACTTGCAAAAAAAACAAAACCAAACACAAGCTCGTTTTGTTTTTTTATTGAAAAACTCATATATGACATTCCACGATTCCAACAGCTTTTTCTGTTGAAAATACCTACATGTACAGCAACAACATGACACAGTATGGTTGGCAAGTGAACATGAATAAGGCACAATAAAAAAACCAGCATGTGAAGGGAATGAGTGAGACAAAGCTTGTGCAAAGATCTTTGTTAACTTTAAACGTTAAATATGATGCAAGAAAACGTACATGGATCAGGGTCAAAGCCTTACTTACAGGTTGTGAAGAAAACGCACTTAGTATAAGCTTGTTGTCTAGCGTTTGTTCATAAAGATCTTAAATAGGGGGGCTAAAGGTTGAAACCTAATGTGTTGGGTTTGAGAAATTGTTCCCTGGTAAGTTTATCTTGTACAAAACCAGAGGGCTAAGGAACTAAGTCCACAGATTGCCAACAGGAATGTGCTCACGAGTTAACAGTCATACCAAAAATACACACAGTTTCCTGCCACCATTTAAGAAATAACTAATCTACCCAACCCAATTCCCATTAACATTACAACTCGTCGCGCAACACGTCACCTTTAGGTCTGACCACCCTGCCAATGTACAGGATGGAGTTACTCTTGTTGTCCTTCACCAGGAAAATGAAGGGGTGATTTACGTAGAAAAGTTGGGGGTTCCTCAGCTTTCCTGAGCTGTAGATGCTGGTGTCGAACGGGTTTCCTGTCACGTCCATCTCCATGGCTGACGCGAGGAAAACGTTGGACAGGTACAGGTCTTTCTTTCCGGAGATGTTGGACAGGTCAGCCTTGGCTTTGTCCACAGCCTCGGTCAGGCCAAGCTCAGCCAGGTGTTTCTAGAAAATACAGAGATGTTTTTTTATAATTCAAATGGCTTCTGGTTGGTATTTAGACTATCTTCTCACAACCATCACATTTCCGACACTTACCTGCAGATTGTGGCTGACTTCCATTGCGATTTTTGGCAGGGAAATGGCCACAGCCTTGTTTTCCAACTTGCTGATCCAGGTGTCCACCTGCTTCCTGGTCAGGAGTTTCTCTAGGCGTTCGAGGGGCTCCAGATGGTGGGGCATGATGAGGATCAAAGAGGCCTGCTTCTGATCCAGAGGCATGTTCAGCACAAAGATACGGTTCTCCTTGTCCTCGTGGAAGTCATACAGACCTGCAGAGAGCACAACAATAAGACATCTGGTCTTGCTTGCTCTCATTGGCAGACTTTTTAATGACATAATGAGTTAGGGTCCAAAGCATAGAGACATTGGAGAAAACCCACCTGTACGATGCATCATAGGAACTTCAATGGTGAGTGATCGGGTAACCAGGAATACACGCTTGTCCACCATGTTATCATTGAATGTCTCAAACCAGTGAGCTGTGGGACAAAACAAACACAATTACTCATCTGCATTATGTATTTAAAACATATCAATAAAAGTCAGTATTTATACTCACGCTTGAAGTACATAGCGTTGACAATCATGGCTCCATCTGGGTTCGGAACATCCTTGGTGACCTCAGCCAGTTTGCCGTCTGTGGACTTTGCTGCCCACTCGTTGATGGAGTTCACTGCACTCCTCTTGTCTCTGATGTTTATTTTTGAATGGTCGTAGTTGTAGTGCTTCTTGCTGTTTTTCACAAAGTCATCAGCAAACGAGACGGAGCTGGGACCATAGAGGCGGTTGTTGATCTTCCAGGTAGTGTTGCGTGTCTTGGTATCGCTCACCTGAAAAACGTGTAACATACATAATAGTGACAAAAGAGCAATAAATAAAAATATTGAGGGTGTCCTTTGAGTTTTGTGAAGAAATAAAGTCTAATATGTAGGATGTAGTATTGTTCTTACGTCAGAGAGCAGTTCTGAAAGGCCTGCATGCAGATGCTCATCCTTCAGATTGTCAGCACTGAGGACCTTTTTGACCTGGGAGGCAGTGGAAGACTTGCCCCCAAGAGCCACCATCCCCAGGGAGGAGGCCACCACCACAGGAGAGATGAGGATGTTCTCTGCGCCTTTCTCCTTTGCCATTTTGTTGTAGAGGCTGAAAGGAAATCACAAAAAGAGATTATTTGCTTTTGTTTCTAACCAGAAAAATATAACAACAAATGGATAGGCAAAACCAAGTGAAGCTAAGAGTTGATTTCAGACCTGAATGCCAGGTTGGCACTTTTATCAGCCAGCATGGTGGCATGGCTGCTTCTTGTCCTCTGCAGAGGCCACGAGGGCCAGCAAACAAAGAGCTACAACGTTTGTCATCCACATCCTGTTTGTCTCCAAAAGCAGCTACTGTACAACAGCCTGTGAAAAAGGGACAGAAGACACAGCTAGGGTTAACATCTTTGAACCTGACTTTGTTTTGTAAAATCTAATAAATGTGTATGTTTGAGATGGAAGGCACGTCAGAATGTTTCCTCAGGGGGAGTCTGTGGAATAAATGATTCATCAACTGAGAAATTCTGAATGCCATGACATAGACTATATTTGAGATGTGGAGCAGATCGTTGAAGGGCAGGGCTGGCTCAGCCCGCACAGAAGTTTGAGAACGCCTCCGTTTTCAGGCAGACATGTTCATCGTCACGTCAGCAGAAACTGAGGCTAAGCTGTATAGCTGGTACCACGTCCTCTCAGAGTGAAGCTGTGTGCAGACACTGACATATGATGCCTCTTTGTTCTCTACATATATTCGAACCACTGCACGTCTGCACTTCAATGACTTTAAAAACCTCTTTTCCACTTTGACATGTTCGCTTTAGCAGCACTCGGAGCCATGTTTCTTCCTAGAGAAAAGTGTTGTGCCTGCAGGTAACATCTAGCTCATCCCATACGTCTTTCAAACAAAGGACCAGATTTATAGGACTGTAATTATCGCCCTGCATCAGCATCTTGTTTCTGAGCCTTATCCACCATTCTGAGAGCAGAGATATATTGTCTTCATCCCTATATTTGCATTTTTGTGATACTTTGCATCATATTCGGATACCTTTAGATGTTTTCATGTCTGCCATTTTCATTCTGAAAGACAAGAGGTGTATGTAACAATCTCCATAAAGCAGGCAGAAATATTATACAGGCTCTGATGGAGTTTTGTTTTCACGTTTAAGTTATTATGCATGTTAGTAATCACTAACAATCAAACACGTTCATATTTTGTATTCCTCTCTTTGTGACCCAGAAAAAAAAAGTTCATCCAGTCAGCTGTGACCCGAACGGGCAGATTTGACTTCTCTACATTAAAAAGTGATGGATTCAAGTATTTAAAAAAAAAAACACATTGGGTGCATATACAGTACTTCTCCTAATTTCAATGCAATTCATGCATTTAAATGGACTGGAAAGTGACAAAAAACTTCAGTATCCTCATGCTGGGATATATTGTATGACAACAATGCAATGCAGATAAACTATAAAATTATGTGTGCGGGTCATGAAGATAGTGAAAAAGGGTTTGAATGTTTGAGGGTTAAATTGGAAAAATGCTGCACTGTAACGATGAAACAAATTACTCCATTCACCCTCTGCATTCCTTCCTGAATTAAAGACAATTATCTTCCAATCCTTACCTGGCAAATATTAGCAGGGTTCTCTTCTCTCTTCTGACTTGTGTCCTGTGGATAATGCGACTGTAACAAACTATCCTGCTTTTTATAGCCAGAGAAAGAATTTTCTAGAAGTGGGAATGGGCAAAAGAGGGTGTGTGTCTTTCCTCAGGAAGCTGGGAGCAGGGAGCTGGGACGTCCCACTTGAAACCACAGGCTGGAATGAGAGGGGTTGCCTGAAATGAACTCCCCAGCGCTGATCTGGGTTCAGCTTTCAAACTTTTCTTGCTGTGGCTTCAGACAGAAACACAGAGAACATCTGATTCTGGGTCAGAACAGACACAACTCCTTAGCCTTTAGCTTCTTACGCTGCTTGCTGACTCAATCTCTAACATGGGTTCCATCACATACAAAAGATGATTATCTATTTTAATAATTCTAATGATTCATGGTAATATGTCGCATGTAAACACTTTTTGCAGTTGTTTTACGAGTGCATTACCCTCTTAAATGTTGTTTTATAAAATGTAATATTGTTTTATAAAATGTAAATTTGTGTTTCGCATCTTGTTAATTTGTTTTTGTCAATGTTAAATAGTTTTTTCCTTGTTTAAAGTGTTTTGCTAATGTAATTTTGTTTTATATAATGTAAATCTGTCTCAAGCTTTGTTAAAGTGTTTCACACTTTGTAATTCTTGTTTGCCCTTCCCAGCCACCGTGCATAATCCTTCTGCAATCTCAGCAGGCAAGACATCAGTGAATGGGCACATTGTTTGCCAATGTAGAAGAAAGAAAAGCATTAATTACATTTTTGTTAACATTTTTACACATATGTCTCATTTAAGATGGGAATGAGAATACATTTGAAAGCTCTCCTCTGTGGTAGTCCTATTCCTGCTTCACAGAGGGTCTCCAGCCCTGCCCCCACCCCCACAGTGACAGTGGACAGTCTGTCCAGCTCAGCTGCTGGAGCACAGCGGTGGAAGGACGGGGGTCTTAAGTAGAAACACTGTCGTAAAAACTGCTGTGTGCAGAGCAGAATCTCTTTTTCTTGAATTGTGCAAGAACATCATGTGTTGTGCACCGACAGAAATGCTAGAGAGATGCATGTTATTTACGTTTGCTTTCTCTCATTCCAGGCTTCCTGATTATTTTCACCTGTGTCTCCTGTGCTCATCAATGTCAGCCCCGCCCCTGATTGGTCCCACCTGTGTCTAGTTACCCTGTGCTTATATTCCCCTGTCTCCCAAGTGTTCTTTGTCAGTTCGTATTGTCTCTTGCTATGGTCAGGTCTATGCTCTTCGTACTCTTGTAAAGTTTGATTCCTCACTACGTGAGCGCTTTCATTTTGTTCCTCTATTTTTGTCATCTCGGTTAGAGATTTGATAGTTACCTTTTTTGTTGTTCATTGCTGTATTTTGGAAAATAAAGTATCTTACTAATACTTTACCTCTGTCTCCCGGGTCGTGCAATTGGGTCCTACATCCTAAGTGTCTGAGTTCGTAACATCATGTAATTAAATAAATTGTAAAGACTTGCGTCAAACAAATCAGATTGATGTCATTTACATAATCTTAGTTATAAAGATACCTTTTCTGCTGTGTAATCTGTGTCAATAATCTACAATCAAAGAGGCCTGCTAGAACATGAATAGAATGAAATAAGGTATATACAATTAGATTGATAGATTTACACAATGGTAGTTTTAAAGTTATCCCTGTATAATCTGTTATGTATCCAGGGAAATCAACGACACATTTGCCCGAATCACATAGAAGGACAGGTAAAGTAATCACTCTGAAATACACACTATCCATTTTGATCATGGTGTCTATTTTCCAACTCAAGGAATTCCTTCCATCTCCTAATCCAGCCCCTGCCAATTGTCCTGACATGCCATCTGATGAGTGGCTTCCATTCTTCAGGGACTTGTTGAGGCAGGTATCCGGAAAGCTCTAAGAAAAAAAAAAGCTCCCCAAAGGCTAACACCACATATCTCTAGTAGATATTACAATAATACAATAATTGCAGTCGATGGACTCAGCTAACAACTTCTCCTTTGAAAGGTTTGACACAGGATTGAAGCCCTCTTCCTCCCGTCAGGAGGTGTTTGTTATTCTGAATAAACCCCTTAGATTCCTCACCCTGTAAAGAGGGTTACTTCTGGGTCAAGGAAGTCTGGTCAAATCTCCCAATACACACAATTTCCATTTAAATAGCAATCCTTAAATTGCCTTCCTTGAGGGGCGAAGGCCTGGAAGATGCAATTAGTAAAAGAAAGGGAAGAAAATGAGGCTCACAACCGCAAAAAAAGATTTGTATAATATATGAAATGTGTCACGTCAATCTAGATTTATGTTTGTCACTCTACATTATCATACAGAAAAAGTTCATGCAACAGTAGTGCACATTGTTGTGGCAAAATAATATAAATGTCATTCTTTTTCTTAATGGATGAGGTTTGTGTTTTGTGTCTTTACATGAATCCACTCAAAGTACCTCCTGTACGCTGACTAAATACTGTACATTCTGTGTGTGGACGTGACTGTGTGAGCTTATAGAAACTTCCAGTACTTTTCCAAACCACCACATGCAAACAGTTAGGAAGGATTCAACATATATAAGCACAATATCAAATGATGCAATATTTCACAACCAATCAAGATAGTAAGAAGTTTGCTTTAAACTATAGTCGTTACGTGATGAACCACGCATGTTTTTGTTTTTTTGACAGACATATGATTCAAAAGCAGACCTCAGAGGGTGGAGCGACTGCATCTACAGTAAGAAAGGGTTATTTGACGACAGGAGCCAATTCAACATCTGGAAGTCATTACACCGACCTCAGCACTGAGTGTGTTAGCACTCCGTGGGTTGCAACCAGTTGTGTCTCTCTTAGTGCTTCTAAAATACAAGTATATCAATAAGGTTAATCTTGTCTATTTTTTATTAATTTCTAGTCTATTCACTTGGATTTAAATAAGAAAGTATGTATGTGGTCAACAGAAAATCAACACATATACTACAGAATGATATTATCTGCGTTGTACATCTTTGCTGTTTGTTAAAGTTTAAGGTTTGTGTTGTAATAGAATAAAACAAAACAGATGTCCATGCAGTTGCATCATGGTTTAAGCGGCTACTGTTGTATGTGGGGGATGTGAATAAACAGAGGACATCTGTGTTAGTCCTTCAAACCGATAGACTGACATGATTTTGTAGTCTGTTGAGGCGGGGGGTTTCTAAACACCTCCCTTTCTGCATATCTCTTCCAGAAGGTTCAGTGTTTGGTTTCCACTGCAGTATGCTTTCCAGATGGGCTCTGATATTGTTGTTTATTGTTTCCAATGGTAGACTTTCCCCAGGTGCATCACATAGTGTTTGAAGTATTCTCTTAAAAAAGTTTGTTATCATTCAAAGTTTCCAAAAAGCAAACGTTTTGACACTGTTTTAAAGATTAAATATATATGATATATTCTCGGTTGGATGTAATCATGCAATTCTGTCACAGGCTGCTTCGACCACGAGGGGACATGTTGGACACAAAGACTCCACTGAAGGAAGCAGAGCGCAGCAGCTGGAACACCATGACGCAAGACCTGAGAAATGTTTCAGTCTGCTGCGTGATGTAACTTTCTGAAGTTTGATGTCTGGGATCAAATGGAGTTTGTTATGTGCTTTGTCAATCTAAATCCACCGGATGTTAAAGACATGAAGTGTGAACAACTGCCTCTTTACAATCAAAACAGTTGAATAAATTATCCCCAGGAAACAATATTGTAAACTCAATTTTCAGTAGAATAATGTAAAAAAAGAAAGAAGGTGTATCTTCATACCAGTTACATCCTGTTGCTAGACAGTTCTTCATCAAGTAAATTATTATAATATTAAGTCTTAAATGTTTTTTGGGGGATTGTAATGCATTAACCCTCCTGTTATCCTCAAATGTACTATACACCCTTTATCCATGGGTCAATTTGACCCCAGTAGTTTAAAACTCAAGACAATGATCATATTCCAAATGTTAACCAACATGTATGTCTCTGGTGCTTTAGGTATCTTAGTTGACTACCTAAATAACCATTTAAATAAAACATTACCCCAACCTTCCCCTCTACAGACCCCTTTATACATTCGGAATTCCTATTATGTGACTGTCAAAAAATATATAAATCACCATAAAATCTCACTGACTGAAACAAAATGTTAAAGTAAGATCTTTTTGATGTTGTTAAAGGACCAATAACTAAAGCAGAGGGTAGTTTTGTTTTACAATGATACATTTGCATGTAATAGTCACCTCAATATTATCCTACACAATCAACACAAATATGTGTAAAATATTGACATTTTTACATGTTTTATACTACTTAAACAGACTGGGGTCAAATTGACCCCAAGGAACACCGATGCGTACAAAGTGCGCACAGGACATTTAAAAAAGATCTTCATGTTCATTTTATGTTTACCCATTAGTCCTCACTAAATTAGGAAAAGTCATGAAATACTAAGCAAAAAAATAATAATGTGACCATGTTGACCACATGTTTTAAATCTTGGTTCAGGAAAAACAAATGCAAGACATTTTTGTTATTTACATCAGAATCAGAAATTATTTTTTCGTCCCACAGAGGGGACATTTACATTTGACCTTGTATCAGAAAGAGCAACAGTTGGCATGTATGACAATGCACCACACAATCATCTTTGAAATGGTTTCATATTGACCGATTATGCCCCCTGGTGGGAGAAACTAGAGAGCTTCCCCTAAAGCCATCAACGTCTGCTTTGTAGTCAGTAATAAGGCTATATTCAGGTTTGTATTTTACTTTTACTCAAAAGACACTTTTAAATGTAATGTGGACTTTTGTGTTTTTATATTCTCTATGTGCTTGAGGAAAAATCGAAACCAATAATGCTTGCTCAGAAGTAAAGACGCAGAACTAATTTCAATTATTTGCCAGCTGCAGTTTTTTGGTGCTGCCTTGCATTGTTGTCAAACAACCGCTAGATGGGGTAAAAAGCAACCAAATGAAGTACACCCACTTCATCAGAGAAAGTTATTTGTTTATGGTCAACAGGAGGAGTTCAAGTAGTAACTTCCACTTTCTCTTAAGATCACACTGGCACAATACCTCTGTTTTATAGCTCCATTGTGTCAACATTAAAATAAACAGAAAGTTAAATATTCGAGGCCAGTACATTTGGGACAGCATGTAGTCTGGTGTCTACCTGTGTGATATTTGCCTTTGAATAAAGTGTTCAGATCAAAGTAATATGTTTAATACCAGTTCCCTTCAGAGATCTATATAAATCAATGCTGTTTCAGTTCCCCCTTAGATGGCCTCTGAATAAATTCCACCTTGCTGTGAAATTCCAGCAGACCTTCAAAGTAATAACAAGCTGTTGGATTGGCATTTAGACGATACAATCTACAAGTATCTGTGTTGGTACTCTCGTTATTTCGTCTCACTCCTCCTCTCTCACGTTAGGTGACCTTTCAGACAGTGCAGTCACAAACACTTCACCCTGCTGACACACCACCTGCAGAGGAGACCCCTACCTGCCATCCTCCTTCCTCCCCTGCCTGTGGATTCTGTTTGTCATTTTAAATTGGGTGGAGACCATAACACAGCGCAGCAGCTGGATATGTTTGTATAAGTCCAGAGAATCCTGTGCTGCTACATCAAAAACCTTCCCGAGAGCAACATTTGCCTTGCTTCCCAACATGTAAAGATGCACTTAACGGGCATTATCAAGGTGTGTGTGTGTGTGTGTGCATGAATGTGAGGGTGGTGATAGTATCTCACACAAATGATTCCCTTTGAAGTAATGTTAAATGGTTAGAATGAAGTGGTGGTTAAAGTGCTGTTGAATCTGAATACATTATCATGTAATCCATCTGAGGAAAGACACAGATGCACATTAACATGCACAAACTCCTGTTTTTCTTCATATTATGCTAATGTTTCACTGCCCTCACTGTTTCCTTGGTGATAGATATGATCTCCTTTTATGTACAACTCCTCCTACACTTCACATAGAGATAGTTCAGGCAAACCACTTGAATACAAGTGATCTGAAAAGGACTGTACATCCCCCATTATTTATTGGCTTTGGCACAATTAATACTGGAATGTGTCTACTGGTAAAGCTTTGGTTCAGAGCAACGCAACAGCATTGTATATTGGTATTCTTCAACCCAATGACACAAGGACAACTGGAACGTATTAAATAAACATTCAGTAAACTAAACACCTTATACGGTCAATAATAAATGCACTTTAATGTGCAATTGACGGAAAAACAATGGGCCACTATGAATAACAATGGAAACAGTCCATCTAATAAAACTATAGCCATTGTACTGAACACTTTTTTGTATGGTATCATCCTTCAGTTTTAAACAGAAGAGCACTATCTGGATTTCCAATTTAACAAGGGATTCAAATGTATCAATGCAGTCGTTGTGTTTCTTTATGTGTTCAACATTTTACATTGTGGTTAAATGTTGTTTTTATGTTGGTTTTAAAACAAAACCAATCTTGAGGAAAACATATTTTATTTTATTCATTTCTAGAAAAACATTCCCCTATACAGGTGAACATTCATTTAAAAACATCCACCAGAAGTATTTAATGCAGCTGACAAAACAAATTAAGATAAATACTCGATGTGTCACAGCGTGTGTAAATTGGTTTATTATGAGACTCTCCTAACATAACATGCTGTCTCTGATTATGACTGCAAATGGTGTTCTCGTAACAAAAATTCAATGTGTTTTGTTTAATGAGTTATCTAATTTAGTGTGTGTCAATATGATTGAAGGTGAGTGACAAAGTCTGAGCCTGGAAAACACTCATCTGGTGTGGGAGGACTGTGACCTTTTTGTTGATTTGATTATTTGCTTTGTTTGTTGGCCTGATAGAAAATGAGACTTGAATAGTGGATAACCATTACAGAAAAAAGGGATACAAAAGCATGCAATTCACATGATGCGTAATCAAACAAAAATGTTTTAGTTATTTTGAGGTCAAATAAAAAAGGTGATAAAAGAGGATTGGTTTGATGGAAATAAACCTGGACTGTTTGTGTGTATGGCATAACTCACCTTCCAAACAGACATGGCTACTCATGACCTTTAATCTTTGTCATGTGTCAACAAGCAAAACTGCTTCTTCTTCATTAAACCGCATTATCATCAACGTGTTTAAGGTATGGTGTTAAAAAACTAAAATAGCAGATTGATTAAAAAAAAAAAAGAAGCCTTTTTAGCTGAAATTATATTTGCACGTTGTTGCGTTCAGGTAACATCGGAATTTCAGCTTACGCCTGATCTGTCGAGTGGGATGGAGAAAACCAATGGTAGTTGAGTGCCATTTGGCTTCAATTTTACATTTAATAATTAAAAATGACGTTCGAAACCTTAAAGAAAGTGCAATTTATCAAAATATGGGTAATAAGAGTTTGTTAAAACGGTGTTAACTGTTTTAAAGTGTAGTTCTTTGTACTTTCGCTGGGCCCTGAACGCGCGGACAGGGAGTAAAGTCAGCCAGGACGGTGACGCTCACTGACTGTACAGGAGGACTGGAGATAAAAAGACCGAAATACACTCCTCCCACCAGTCAGTACATTGAATTACCGGTGAATGTGTCTCTGCTCACACTGATAACGCGGAGCTTTTATTTCCAAAGCGAACCAAAACACACACAGAGGACGGAGAAACTGACATTATGAAACGGGACTTATTTTGGCCAACGTTCCACCGTTGCCATTGACACCGTCCGGTTTTCTCCTTTTGTTTTTCGGTGTAAAACTTCGGCTCTGTCAGCATTTACCGCTACCGACCACCCACCTCTCACTCGGTACCTTTCACACGGGTTGTCCCCGTTTGACTTTCGGGTGTGGTGGCATTTTTAACGGGCAGAAAGAGAAAAAAAAACTTCACCGTGTGCCGTAAAACGAACTGAATCAAAGAAAAGTGGAAGCAGACAGGTGAGTGTGTGTTGTGTGTAACGGTATTTGTGGTGTTTATTTACCTGTCGTTTAGTTTTATAGCATCATTAGTAGACCGTTTTAACATTTCAGAACATTTTAGCACTTTATTTCTATATGTTCACAAATAATGTGAATAGGACTTTATACCATTCCTCTAACAGTTAAACAGTCTAACAAGCTAATAATGCCCACCAGAAGTTATTAAGATTTAAATGTGTATTTCCTGTCTTTATAATAGTTGCATCTTTTGGCATCCTCACTTATAACATATGTGGCTGTTGTGTACTAGTTTCAACTATTTCTTAATTAATGTAATAATGTTTTACCAATCACAACCCTGTAAACTCAGTAGTTATCCCACTGTTAACTGAGGTCTCATGTGCATCCAAATACATTGGACACGCCCATGATGTTTGTATGCCATACATTCCTGTATCCCCCTTTTTATGAATACATAAATTGATTCCCACATTCTCAGTTTAGTGCATATTACAAAATAGCACGTGTATTGGCATAATGCAGGTTAAGCTACAGAGTCTTCAGGTGGACTTCTTCCATATGCACACTGTATGCACTTACTTGCATAGTTGATGACACCATTAATTTTTCTTTGGAAATTGAAAGCTTGTTATATGGCTTTCCGGTTGTGTTTGTATTCCAAGAAAGATTGCATGCTGTCAGATAGTGCAGAACATGGGATCACTTACAACATTTTATATTATTTAGAACTTCATTAGAGAGTTTAATCTAGTCACAAAAAACCTTTGGCCATTGGAGAAGATCCATTTGGTGCATGGTCTCTTCATCCTTCTTGACTGTTTGACATATCCCATCTGTCACTACTACACCTCCAGTAAAAACAGCTTACACTTATTTGATTTAGGTAAAGCTCTTAAGTTAAGATGACATTTAATTTGTATCCTCTCGGCATGCCAATAACTGCTTTTAAAGAGATTAGAAACTGTTTGCTTTTAAAATAAAATAAAAGACGGACAACTCAGGCAGGACATGTTTTCTTATCTATAAATGGATTGCAGAAGCTTTGGGCTGGAGTGTGCAGAATAGTACTTTGCTAACTCCTTTTGGCTCGTACAGTACAATACTCTATATGCCGTCTGCATAGTAAGTGGGGCTCCTGTCCTGAAAGCAGCCATCACTATGAAAATGTTTTCAGATCTTGACATTGAAACTCAGATTGCATGACACGTGAAATAATAAACATCACTCTTGACATTCATTGCTCCAATTTCAACTTGGGGATTTCACAAAATGATTCAAAGGTTGACATTTTGACGTTAGTTGAGAAACTGTGATGTAACATACTGTACACACTTCTACAGTTCTTGTATTGGAGTTACGGGTAAGGTGTAATGTTTTACTAATGCACGGCCCAGCTGAAAAGACGTAGGCTTGTTTAAAGCTTTAAATATCCGTATTGTTATTTTAGAAGAGTCAATCCAGAATAGAGGGTGATATAATAGGTCACAAAAGGGAGGAATGTAATGCTGCGTTCACAGGAGCGAGCCACATACTGGTTACCAACTCTTGCACACAGTTTTGTAGATGAAGCTTTTTAAATCTTTCCTTATCTAGTTTTCAAGTTGGGCTGAACAACTAATCAAAATGGTATCGAATATACACTATATTCAAGAAAACATTTGTTTCAAAATGGCATTCTGAATTAATTGCGCTCTTGTGTTGCTGCAGTTATTTCCCTGCCTCCAAATTGTGTTTTCAGTCTTAAGACAATCATAAAACATTTGCAATATCACAGTTAGGTATTAAAAAAAATGGTTCAGCCCTGCTTTCAAATAACATGCATGTTGTAGTTGTTGCTGATTACACATGTTTAGTTGCTCCGTGTAGACCGTAGTTGACCCTATTGTCCATTTTAGTCGAGTATTGATTCTGTGTCCTCGCCATTCTGCTTTGCCCTGCTTGTATAACTGCCACAGTGTGTATACAGTTCCCGTAAATAGCTGCAAGAAACATACCCAACTAACAATAAATCCAATATCCTTTATGATCTTTTCTGGCTTCATAATACAAAAGAAACATCACGTGGTCCGTCGAAGCTGTGCAGCGTTATCCAGAGGGAGTGCAAGTCTGACTTGTTATAAAGGACCTGTTATTATTGGCTGCCCTGTAGCAGTGAAGTCCAGCTATCTCTGGCTCTCTCTCTCTCACTTGCAAACAAACACACACATGCACTCCTCTTCTGTGCCTTGCCACAGTTAGGAGAATGAACTTCCAACAAGAGCTGGCACTCTTCTGCAAGTGTTTGCTATACATTACATGTTACTTTTACATTACATGTTACTTGTTAGATGCTTTTATCCAAAGCGACTTACATACTCAATACTGTGGGCAATCCCCACAGGAGCAAATTGTGGTGAAGTGTCTTGCCCAGGGACACAACGACATGCTGACTGCAGTGGGGTTTGAACCTGTGACCATCTGATCCCCAATAGAATAATAGAATATACATTTCTATTACCTTTTTATGAAAAAGTAGTATATGATTTCCACATGGTTTGAACTAGGGCTGCACATTATTGGAAAAAACTGACATTGCGATATTTTCTTCCCCTGCGATATATATATATATATATATTGCGATATGAAAAAATACAGGAATTGAAGAAAAGACAGTTTTTTTTTGTCCGCAAACCATCCTTTCTTGAACTTTATTGCTATACAATTTTTTTTTTTTTTTAACAATATTTAACCAGATGAAGGATTTTAGTCACGGACTTCTGGATCTTAAGTTATCAGAGCAACGAGCTAGCTCGGTTATCCTGCTGTGATCTGATCAAGAATGATTGTGATTGGTGGTTTGCTGTGCATGCAGAGCCTGCATGTCACTCACTCAAGTACCCCTGACATGAGAGCCGCGTGAGTTTTCCTTTTGTAGCAAGCAGCAAAATAATTGTAACATGACGTGTTTGAGTTCATTTGCCTAATTAATATCGCATGTCCTAAAAAAAAAATTGCACGTCCTGCGATGTCAATATCGCGCATGAGCATAACGCGATTATCGTCACGACACGATATATCGTGCAGCCCTAGTTCGAACCACAATAGCAGAAATTCAATGCAAAAGTAATGGCAAGTAAATTGGAGTTATTGACTTTTGAAAATAAGAAATAACCCACATGTACATAACAGCCTTGACTCAGTCCAGGACTATCATTTCCATAGTACTTTAGGTCAAACTGCTAGTTTATTCAAACCAATTTTCCTTTGTGCAAATACCTTTTCTCTCAATCTTTGAATAACAGCAATTGGGGTGAAGTGTTGCTGAGCAGTGAAAGGCTTTGCAGTATGAGCTGATCTGATTGTGATTTGTTGGAGGTTTGTAAGGTCTATACGTTTTGAAGGTTTCATGGAAATGTAGATGACTAAAACTAGCACAAGTCCATTTCAAAGCGCAAGTCAATGACATGCAGTCACATAATAGGGTAAACAAGCCTTCTCAACAGACACTGAATATAACCAACAATATATTAAAATTGGATGATTGATTGGCTAAAATGTCGAAAAATCATAGATTTTTGTCTGCATGTGTCATCAGATGCTTACTCAGCATCTTTCAGTCTGTAGTTCTCTATCTATCAAAAGACATGATGGGTTAGGGGTGTGTAAAGCAACATTAATGCAAAGTTACTTGCAACATTTCCTAGAATATCTTTTACACTGAGAGTTGTGAACTAAACAAATAAGGGTTTGTTCACATTTACGGAAGCTTGGTTTCCAGAAAAATAGTCATAATACCTATACCTAATGTCCTCTGAACAAGTCCCCTTTCTGTCAAAGATGCTTGATATTTACTATTCATATCAGATACTTTCGTTATGAAGTTAAGCATTTGACAATGAAAACTGTGAGACGATACTAAACCTTCTGACAGATTGTTGTTAAGTGCGAGCCCACAGTAAAAGTCAAACTTATAGAAAACGTCACTTTCTTTGCCTCACCTTGTTTGTTCAGGTAGCATTCCCAAGGCTAATTGCTATTAATGTAACCCTCATAGGAACACAGGAGTCTTTGGTTCGCCCTCATTGCTGGTTTGCAACTTGAGCTCTCTTCAAAGTCCAAGGGCTCAGACAAACTGGGAGGTGCACAGTTATTTTGTCAAAGCTGAGGCTCCGCTTTGAAAAAAGGCAAGAATACCTACTTGACTGGATAACAAGTCTGCTTGTTTTTCTTTCATTCTTAGGGATATTCCCACCACTTGAGACCCACCACCACTGAGTTCAAATGTAAAAAGAGAATCAGGTGTCTATTATAGATTTTCATAATGTCTGGAAATTGGAAAAGCAAAGTCGCTTTTTTCAAATTAAGTTTCATTAAGCTGATGCTTTAATCCAAAGCGACTTACAATAAGTGCATTAAACCATGAATATACAAACTCCAAAAAAACAAGTATCCTGTAGGTGCATTAGCTTTTAATAAGTGCTACTGCATTAGCTTGAAATACGCCAGACTTTTCGTGAGAAGAAGTGAGATTTTGTATTTATTTCTGGCCGATGGGCAGTGGAAACAGGTGGGTTTTCTGTCTGCGACGGAAGTTGTGTTGGATTTTCTGCTGTCCTGATATCAATGGGAAGCTTGTTCTACCATTTCGGAACCAAGATAGCAAACAGCCGTGTTTCTGTAGAGGGGTTACTTGTTTTTTTATAATGATTGTATTATTGATATTTGTTTCTTTTGTGTAATTATCTTTGTTATAAAATCTAAGACTCCACATGTTCGGATGAGGAAGAATCTCTCATGCCAAGTCCACCATAGTGGCACCTGCTGGTCTGGCCCTGCCTCCGGGGCCCAGGCAGCAGGCGCAGTAGAGGACATAACTTGGTGTGATGTCAACACACAGATGGTGGTGTAGAGCCCTCATGTAGACATACAGATGGCACCTTGATAAAAAACATAGTCCAACTACAACAGTCGGACGCCGGAGTGAACTGATCCAATGGAGTTGTCCATTTGCCACACAC